TGTGGGGGGCTCCAGCTGCCTGTACGGGCGGAGGAAGACAGGCTGCTCCCACAGTCGTCTCGCATTCACATGATAGTCTTCGAAACTTCCCTCCCAACTTAATTAACGAAGTTTAACGCGTGCGTGTAATCCTCGATCATATCTGAACTTGACAATAACCCTAGTTGCTCTGCCCAAGTTAGCAACTTCTAGTTTCATTGGTTAATTTTTAATAGAAGGTTTAAGGCGGCCTCATCGTGGTGTGAGGACCTTTACCAGCTGTTGAGTAAGTCATTGACTATTGAGTATAAATGAGTAATATAAGTGGCCTTAACCCCCGTGGGAGGGCGTGTAGTTGTTCCTAACCATCTTGGGACTACGTTTTGGGTTGTCTTGGTTGGGTAACGCCCCTTGCTTATTCTCTCTCTACATTTTACAAATATTCTCACTGGAGTATTATTCTTGTGTCAAACCTCGGTGCGTTTAATTCTTCGAGGTCTCTTAAGTTTGTACAAAGTAAGGAGGCGGCTTGTGTGTGTGCATTCACCTAGTTGTGCTTGCGGAGGTTATGATATGCCCGCCTCTCAACTGTCATTGTTTTTACACACACACACACACACACACACACACACACACACACACACACACACACACACACACACACACACACACAGGAAGCCCGTAACAGCTGTCTTAACTCCCAGGTACCTATTTACTGCTAGGTAACAGCAGTAAATCAGGGTGAAAGAAACTCTGCCCATTTGTTTTCCGCCATCGCCGGGGATCGAACCCGGACCCTAGGATTACGAGTCCCAGGCGCTGTCCACTCAGCCACAGGGCCCCCTGTATGTGTGTGTGTGTTGGTGAGGGGTCTATGACACTATTAGTATGAGAAGGAACATGATAATGAAGTATAAGATTCTAAGGGAAAATTGAGAAAACACCAATAATAAAAGTGAGGAAGAGCCCTTTGAGAAGCAGTCGGCTTCCTGTACTCGTCGAGCCCACTAGAGTGTTAGTGGCCCCTCAGGTAAATTCAGGTAAATAATGATGAAGATGTCCTGCTTCTTTTTCTGAAGGTTACTGTTTGAGTGCTCAGTGTTGAGGGAATTCTTAAAACAATATTCTAGCTTAAATCTCGCAATTATTATGGCAATTATATGCGCCGAGGTTTGTCATGTTTGGTGGACGCCTTGTACTGTTCGTTCACATACCGTGTACGCCGACGGATAGGATGAACGGTGGACGCCTTATTCTGTCCGTTCACATACCGTATACGCTGACGGATAGGATGGACGGTGGGCGCCTTATTCTGTCCGTTCACATACCGTATACGCCGACGGATAGGATGGACGGTGGGCGCCTTATTCTGTCCGTTCACATACCGTATACGCCGACGGATAGGATGGACGGTGGGCGCCTTATTCTGTCCGTTCACATACCGTATACGCCGACGGATAGGATGAACAGTGGACGCCTTATTCTGTCAGTTCACATACCGTATACGCCGACGGATAGGGCTAATGTTTTTGGTCCGACGCCAACGTAGTATGTACTGCACAAAGTTATGTTCCCTCCTACAAACCCGTTTAATATCACCTTACATAAAACAATGATAAAACATGCTAAAATTATTTTTACCCCACAAGCTATTCTCGGACATTAAGAGCGTCTTATACGCCAGCGAAGATGACAGTTCTCAGAGCGAAACAGATCGTAACTCCTAATACTCATGTTCTCTGGCCGTTGAGTATTTGAGATTTTTCTTGTGTCAGTCCTAATATCTTGAAGTAGTGAGGTTTTAACCAAAAATAATAACTATACAATGAGTTGAAATACACAGAGAAGTCTCTATTTGGCAAGTAAGGCAAGACAGAATATCCATAGTATGGGCGCGAGTGCTCGCTCTCCTAAACGTTCCTTTACTAATTTATTGTGATCAACTCAATAACTCAGTAAACACTAGAGCCAATAAAATTATAATTAATCATTGGCATTTTTATGTTAGAGTTAGTTATCCATAAGTAATAAAAAACCGGTTGATAAATACGTCGTTAGTGGAAGGATAAGATGCTATAATATTTTGATAGGCTTGAGGGAACTTTTTTTACTATTTTGCTCTTTTTATCCTTGAGAATTTAGTTGCGTATTATGAACTAGAAGAGGTTTAAGAGGTCATTAGGTAGAGTGGTTGACGAGGTGTTGGTGTGGGGTGTGAGGTGTTGGTGTGGGGAGTGAGGTGTTGGTGTGGGGTGTGAGGTGTTGGTGTGGGGAGTGAGGTGTGGTGGTTGTTGGGGGCTTGTGGTTGTCTGCCATTGTGGTGTGGTGGGTGTGATGGCCACATACCTGCCACACATATACGGCCAGCGCACTCACCCACGCCACCAACCTCCTCCTGCTTCTCATCATCTTGCTCTTACTCAAGTTGCTGCTGCTACTGGTGTTGCTGCTGCTGCTACTGCTGCTGCTACTGGTGTAGCTGCAGAAGCTACACCAGTAGCAGGTGTTGCTGATACTGCTATTGCTACTGCTGCTGCTGCTGCTGGTATTGTTGCTGCTGCAGCTTCTGCTGCTACTGCTGCTCTTACTGATGCTGTTTTTGCTGCTATTGGTGCTGATGTTGCTACTGCTGCTGCTCCTGCTGCTGGTATTTTTGTTGCTGCTGCTACTACTGTTACTACTGCTGCTTTCTGTACTACTTCTGCTACTGATGCTGCTGTTGTTACTGCTACTGATGCTGTTGCTGCTGGTACTGATGCTGTTTCCTCTGCTGCTATATATAATTACGATAATGAGGCTGCTACCGCTATATATAATTACGAAAACGATTATATAGATAAGCGATGATTATAATGATTGCAAATTATTACTTTGTAATATAACTGGTCAGAGTAACGCAAAATATTAACATGAAATCCCAAAACATCATATGAGGTCATTCTAGAACCACACAAACTATTGGTATTCAAATCTCAAAGCACTAGGTAAGGAAGTTACCCCTTTAGTATGCTAGGTACGACATGCTCTCTGGGATCAAGGTATTTTTAGTAACTAAGTGCTAGTTGTGTAAGGTATTAGATAATCTTGTTACCTGAACTCAGAATTCTAAAGCCCAAAACTGGAGGTGAGGAGGTAACACACTAGGAATATATATATATATATATATATATATATATATATATATATATATATATATATATATATATATATATATATATATATATATATATATATATATATATTAGTATATTTTGGTAGCAGTCTTTCTTGTAAACATATGTTGTTGAATATGACCGAAAGGGTAAGATTAATAATTCTAACACGAATCTTCTCAATATTTCTTACTTTCTTCTTCACTGTCAAAGGTAATTAATAAATTAACTCTCCAAAATTCCTTCTTTATTTCTGGTCTGACGCCTGAACGCGTTTCGTAATTCTTATTACATTTTCAAAGACTTAGTTTACACATAAAATACATCATACTTATACTCGTTTTGGGTGAGATGACAGAGCTATGCCAGAACTCGAATCAATGGGTATAAATTGGGTATGAAAACATAAGAATGGAAGTAACTGCAGAAGGCCTATTGGCCCATACTTCCTCTTGCTGCTTCCATGCTGGTCCGGGGTCTTGAATCTTACATATACTCAATATGTACAGTAATATCTTACATATACTCAACATGTACAGTAAAAATACTGTTATGGCTACAATGTTTTATGTGTAGCAAAATCGTCAATGAAATACGAGTCAGTAAGGGACACCGTGGCAGTAGCAGCAGCAGCAACAATATCATCACGGAGTATGACACACTCATCGTACTGGCCACATTTTATCAACTTCATCACATTCTATACTGTACTTAAAATTTAGGATAAAGCCTATTAAAAATTATTTTAGCAAAATATGTACAATGGTTATGATAGTTACTTTGTATATTACAGGGATTGTATTTTGTTTTTGGCAAGATCATTAATTTCGTACAAGATTTTCAACATATTTGCGCGTCATTCGGCCAAGGTCAGCACTGGATGGGTGACCGCGAGGACACTCACCTTGATAAGCTTAACAGGCGTCGTGCTGCTGGCGACAATGCTGGCCGATCTCATCACTCGTCGCCGTAATCAATGCAATGGTTTTGCCGAACCAGACTCGTTAACACCCAAGCAACCCACCCAACCCATCGCTGTCGATCCCCAGACAACGTCATTATTACCGTGTTTTAATTTGTATTAAAACTCTGCACTTATTTATCATTAACATAGGATAATTGCAGATACATGGGTTTATACAATAGAAGATCAGTTCAATTTAACAATAATATAAATAATTACAATTATTTCGAATATTAACGCTGCGTTAATCAAGGGGCAGGACAAGACAATACTCAAGTGTTCAGGGAGAACCTGCAAGGTCTTCTCTGAGAACCTTTTAGTCTCTTCTCAGAGGCTACGGGTCCCAACAGTTGCACCAGAGGTGGCACCTTGGAGTTACCTTGGAGTGTTTCCGGGGCTTAGCGTCCCCGCGGCCCGGTCTCAGGCCTCCTCGTTACTGGATTGGTCAACCAGGCTGTTTGACGTGGCTGCTCGCAGCCTGACGTATGAATCACAGCCTGGTTGATCAGGTATCCTTTGAAGGTGCTTATCCAGTTCTCTCTTGAACACTGTGAGGGGTCGGCCAGTTATGCCCCTTATGTGTAGTGGAAGCGTGTTGAACAGTCTCGGGCCTCTGATGTTGATACAGTTCTCTCTCAGAGTGCTGAACTGTGCCCATATAGTGTGCTGTATACCAATATAGTGTGAAAACCTAGAGAGTGTATAGTGTAACGCCCTAGAGTACGGGTATCCATACCCAATAGGGGTATGGGAACCAAATAATTGGATTCCTAAGAATCCCTGCCCTAGAATGTATTGTGACACCCTGGCCCAGACTCTAGGGTGTCACACTAGAGTCTAGGCCCCAGAGTATAGTGTGACACCTTAGTGAGTGTAGTGTGACTAACGTAACTGTGTTGTTTCAGAGGACGGCGGCGACAACGACTCTTCAAGCTCAAGTTTCACCACCAGGCGCTGCCGCCTGAGTACCTGGACCACTATGAGGCGTCCCTACGGCAGGAGCAGCGGGCCGCCGCAGCTGCCGCAGCTTCCTCCCCAGCACCCACACCCACCACCGCCCGCCACCACCGCGAGGCTCTCGGCCCGGACCCTCTCTCGCCCCGGGACACGCCCACGCCAGGCCTCCAAGGTGGCGTCCCTAGACCAGGGCGTGGTGGTCGTGGGCGGGGGCGGGGGCGTGGCCAGCGTGCCCCACGACCCATTACTATCCACGAGGCTGGCGGGGCGGCCACGGAGGCGCTGCTGCGAGACCTGCTGTTAACGCGGCCACACCTGCAGCAGGCGGCGCTGCAGCAGGTGGCCCTGGCCCGGGCCCAGTCAGTGCCGTCCATCATGATGGCCAGCCAGCAGGGTGGGCGCGGGCCGCCCAGTCCGGGGGCCCCAGAGGAGCACCTGCCCTATATGGGCGAGATGGTGCTGGACACCCGACCCAGGCGGGGCAGGAAGCCCAAGAAGGCGGACATTACACACCTCATCTCCAAGAACTATGGCGGCGCTGGCATAGTGGCTGCCGGCATGATGCAGGACGCAGTGGCTCTCCACCACCCGCTGCACCACCTGCACCACCAGCTGGAGCACCACCACCACCAGCAGCAGCAGCGGCGGCAGCTGGAGGGCGAGGGAGGCTACACCATGATGGAACACGAAACACTGGCACGGTCCCGGAGCTACACCTCGCTGCTACACTCGGCGCTCACAGCCGCCGAGGCCGAGGACCAGAGTGAGCCTCTCAACCTGTGCGTGCGCGACGCGCCCCTCAAGTGTGAGCCCGAGCACGCCGCCCACGCCCGCCACCACACGCCCGCCATCAAACTGGAGCCGCCGCCACACATGGACGAGGATGAGATTATCAGAGGCGGTGGGATGAGCTCGCCAGACGTGGCGTGGGCGCCGGGTGGGCGGCTGGGCGTGCCCTCACACTGGCTCCACGACTACCGCCTCAAGACAGAGGACGGCCTCAGCTCCGGCCAGTCCACGCCCTCGCTCTGCTCCCACTCCTCCCACATGCCCTCCCTCTCCCCCCCAGCCTTCCCCCACATGTCTCCCCCGCCCCCTCTGCCCTCCCCCCACATGCATCACTTCATGGGCTCTCCTCAGTCACCTCACTCGCCCGCGCCAGCAGCCTCGCCGCTGCCGCCCGGCCACCACCACCACCGCCACGTCCACGCCCTCCTGAAGGAGTCGCTGCAGCAGCGGCTGGACGAGGCGGCCAGGGAGCGCCTCTCCCCCCAGGAGACCGTGGTGAAGGAGCGGGGGTCGCGGGGGGGCGGAAGAGGGGGCGCGGGGGCCCGTAGGAAACGGTCGGCGCTCTTCATCCCCCCAGCTGACCCCAACACCGAGGTCAGCATATGTAAGTTCAAGTTCACGGGGGGCCCGAACCCCATCCTGGAGGAGAAGAAGATGGTGAGTGTGGACGCAGGCGGCACCCTGAGGTACTCCAGTGGGGGGGAGCGGGGCGTTGCCCGCGACCCCCGCGCCGCAGCCGCCCACCTCCGCCTCTCCGGCAAGCTCCTCGATAACATAACCAAGTGTGAGAAGGACGTCAAAAAAATCCGACTTGAAAGCGACACGGAGGACACGTGTAGCCTGCCCGGGATGGGCAGCACCACCACGTCGCCCGTGCCTACCCTGGAGCGGGGCATGCAGCCGCCCATGCTCGCCCCGCCCACAGAAGAATCCCCCAAGCGCAAAAGACGCTCCAAAAAATCCTCAGTGCGGGAAAAGTTAGAACAGACGTTACGTGAACGCGGTCTGCTGATCCAGACGCAGCAGGTGGAGTCTGCTGAGGGAGCCACCTACTGCAAGTTCCGTCAGCTGCGCAAGTTTACCCGCTACCTCTTCCGCAGCTGGAAGGACTACCTTCCGGGCCAGCTGCAAGAGGGAGGGATTCCGCTAGACGGCTACAGCGACCCGCGCCATCCCCCTTTCCCCCATCACCTGGCTCGCGGGCCGCCCACTCCTGATCACCGCTGACCTCGAGCAGAATGTTGTCACCACCCCATCCCACATGGGCATTTAGAGAGCGTGGGGAGCGTGGGTGGTGGCGCCTGTCCTGCACCAGGTTGTGATCCTCATCCCAGCCTTTCAGGTTGTGACGCACAAAGTACAAGAGCTTACCGGGACCCGTGCTGCTCCCGCCCTATACGCTCACTCTCCTACGCACGCCTTACGCCAGGCTTCCCCTGGGATGCCACTCTCCTGGACCCATAATTCCCTCCACACAACCAGGATCCTTAGTCCCTTAATCTCCTCCAGTGTAGAGGCGCAGATGTTCAGGAAAGGGAACCCATTTCCCCCCTGACTACCATGTATTTTAATGCGTGAATCTTCAGGGACGTGGCTCTATGTTTCCCTTGTCTGAATCTGTAGTCTGTAGTGAGAGTTATATTGACCCTTTCTCATAACTAAAACCAATGGGCTCTACAAAGTATGCATAATCTGATTGATGACCCTCTTACCTAAGAGCGAAGGATTGACTACCTCCCCGATGTCCACAACCCTGTTTTATTTCATATTTCCACCTTGATGGAGGACATGACCAGAGCTGCGGCAGTGTTCCTCACTTGTCATGCTATGAGCCGGTTGCTCTTGACCACTCGAGTCCTGCTGTAACTCGCTCAGACTTCCTCAAGTATAATTCCTCTGACTTGCTGAGATGTGTATATTCATCCGTGGAGTTTTGTCTACACCAATCCAGTATTGGTCCTGGATCCAGTCCACATTTACTCAGGCTTGTTGATCCTCATCAAAGTATTGTTTGATTCTCCGTGCTGTCCTACGTACATAATCTCATGGACTGCTAAACATCTTATATTCGGGATGGCTCTGTTTAGTTCAAACACGTCTAAGATAACAAGTATGACTTGCCCCAATGGGCGTGTGATGAGTAGTAACCCACGACGTCCATTGTGAACGTGTCCTTGACGAGTGTTGCTGTGTCACTCATCAGTGGTGAATGCCATGACTTGCCTGGATGATAGCGGGGCGCCGTGTTCAGCCAGTAACACTCATGACCAAATTCAACCCCGTTTGTGTATCCTGTGAGTGTAGCAGCGTGCCTGGGGTGTGCCTGCTGGATGTTGTGGATATGTGTTGCTTGCATTGTTCATCATCACTACCAAGGATACATTTTACATTTTCGGCATGACCTTCCGTGTCTGTTGACTGCTGACTCACAATACCACCTTGTTTCTCTGTTGAGTATGTGTACAAGTACGTGACGGCGTCAACACCACGCTGGCAGGTGGGCCACGCTACCTATTTACAGTTACAAATAGAAAATTGTTACAGAAATTTGCAAATCGAAGATTTTCCAAGATAATCAAACAATATTGTACAACCGAATTGACAAGAGCCCTTCTAACAAAACAAAAAGAAAACTGCAGGATATCAGGCAAAAAAATCGAGTGAATTCTTTTCCGAAGGGAAAGCAATCTCTGAAGATCACTGTGATGCAATAAGTTGTATTTTCTGATCTTACGACCGAGACTGCCTTAGAAAATGTTTCTAGGTTAATAAACAAGTTTGGCTCGTGCCTCCACCCTCTGTTAGTGGGATGCTAGCCACAAAGTGCTGGTAACGCTGAGGCGAAGCACTGATACTCCTCAGTGAGGTCTAACTTGACACTGCAGTCATATGTACATGACACGTGTACAGTCTATCCTTCACGTTCCATGTAACGTAACCATTGTTGTAAGAAATATTTATGGTTTAATATTAATACTGTCATTTGTTAGAGTTAGTAGGTTTCTCACAACGCAATGAAGAAACCAGATCTATAAAGTGAGAACGAAAAAGAGCAACGAATTTCCATACTGTTATGATTTCTTCGGGGATTTATGATTTTGTAATTTGAATGCTAATTATTATCGAGACTCAGTATTATTTTTCGTCATCAAGGATAAGTAGAATCCCACATGAGTGTTGATATACGTGAGCTCTGGTAGTGGTGTGGGCCTGTAGCCTCATTGTGAAGATGAGATCTGGAGGTGGTGTAGGCCTGTAACCTCGTGTGAAGGTGAGCTCTGGTGGTGATGTAGGGCTGTAGTATCATGAGAACGTGAGCTCTGGTAATGTTTAGCTTCATGTAAAGGTGAGCTCTGGTGGTGGTGTAACCTCATGTGAAGGTGAGATCTGGTGGTGGTGTAACCTCATGTGAAGGTGAGATCTGGTGGTGGTGTAGCATCATGTGAAGATGAGATCTGGGGGTGTTGTAACCTCATGTGAAGGTGAGATCTGGTGGTGGTGTAGCATCATGTGAAGATGAGATCTGGGGGTGTTGTAACCTCATGTGAAGGTAAAATCTGGTGGTGGTGTAGCATCATGTGAAGGTGAGATCTGGGGGTGGTGTAGCATCATGTGAAGATGAGATCTGGGGGTGGTGTAACAACATGTGAAGGTGAGATTTAGTGGTAGTGTAGCCTAATGTGAAGGTGAGCTCTGGTGGTAGTGTAGTATCATGTGAAGATGAGATTTGGGGGTGGAGGAGCCTCACGTGAAGGTGAGATCTGGGGGGTGGTGTAGCCCCAGGTAAAGGTGAGGAAGGTCGTGAGGTCAGCAAATAAGTAGTGGATACACGAGACATGGAGGCAAAGGGTGTCCCAGGTGTTGGAGCCTCGTAGCTATGCCTTAATGGGGGGGTGAGGGGGTTCAGGTGTTCCCCCCCTGGATGGGGGGCAGCGTGAGCCATGGTGTCAACTTAGTGTTCATGTCTTTCATAACCTCAACTGGAGAAACAATTAAACAACTAATACTCTCTCGTAGGAAGGTCCTGAAAGTATTTTCAATATGTTAAAAGTCCAAAGCTTTAAATATGATTGGCATTAAATTCAAGACTTCTTCAGGCTTGATGTAGTAATCGGGTAATCCACAAACACACGTGAAACAGAGCAAAATGATTTTTTTCTGGACCATCAGTTCTAGTATTTTTCATAGTAACTTCTCAGGTACAAATCGTGACACGGCCAGTAATGTTAAGCCTTGGGTAAACCATCTCAACGGAGTTCTGTTTTCCTGTAAACAAAAAGTTTTTGCATTTTGGTTTCTTGTGTTTTATTAATTGAGTAATCGAGAGCATAGTATAGTGTGAGGCTGGAAGGTTGTGGGAAGAACGTTGACCAACAAGAAGTAATTTTTTTTTACTTAATAAGGTTCCCACCTTCCCAGCATAGGTGGGAAGCTGACGTAAGTAGCAACTATCTATTGCAAGACGTCTAAGGTATGGCAGAGTCACTCATTTGTGTGTTCAGTAGTCCCCCACTGTCGTCACCATTCCCAAAAAGAAACCTTATATGCAAAATACATTCACGGTAGATATTTCAGGGTGCACATAGCCCATGGAAACAGGAAAATGAGCTGCACTGATGCTTTTCTTAAGGGTTAAGATGACAGGCCACGACACACGTTACAAATTACAATAATGCATCAATAGATCTGCCAAGCTTGTGATAATATGGCAACTGGTTGGTCATTTCTGATGACCGTCGAACCTTGTTAATCCGGTGCTAACTATTCTTATTAACCATGGTTGTTAGTGAGACAATATCGTGGGCTCACAGTTAAAAAAAGATATCATGACCTTTTTGTTGATTTACATATTTGGTCTTTAATTTATGTGTGACATTTGTTGACAAAAATATGTGATGTTTATTGAAAAGTTTAAAAGTGTTTATATGTGTTGACCACATGTGTAAAGTTCATTGATAATGTTAGGTATACAGCAGGTATACACTGTATGAGTAAAAAAAAGATAAATGCTGGTTTGTTGTAGTAATTCCGTTTAAATATTGTATAGTGTTAAAAGTTACTTGGAATGAGTTCAAATAAGAATATTTTTATTATTGTTTTAAATTCCCTGTTATTTTATTGTAATATGTGATGGATGTTTAAAAATATCCAATGTGGCATTTATATATAGATGTTTAGTGGATGTATAATGTGTTTTCTATAAGCCCCTCAAGTTCAAGTACGTTTATTGAGACAATAAAATACATCTCAAAGGGATAGAATAGCTTAGGCTATTTCTACCCTCAACATATAAGTCCCTTAACCCACAGTGTTGAGAAAGGTCAAATATTGGCGAGAAACAAGTGAGCATCAGGTTAACTTGAATCGACGGTTCAATGTGCCATTTGATTCCCCTGTCTGCTTAAATGTAATTTTTTTGTGCTTCAACACCAACCAGAAATTGTGTATATTATGAGTTTTATGTATATTTATGCTCCGTAATGCCTGTATAAATCGATATATGACTAATATATTTAGCAAAACCAGATTAATACACAACATCGTCCGCGGACTAAAATATGAGTATGGTATAGAAACAAAACCAGATAACTAAATGCATATTCAGCACAAATTTATATTCATTCAATTTCATAACTTATAAACAAAACAATGTGTTATCCAGACTAGCCAAGATTTTGCTGTCGAGGGAGGACGAGCGCTCGTCTATCACCTTATAAAGCTCGCCAGACATAACTAGCTAGGTAGGCTGTACAGAATATACAAGTCATCATAGTTCACTTCTTTTAGCGTGTGTTGTTGAATTGGGCAAAACCCTACATAAGTATTTCCCGTTTGATCAGCTTATTTCTTCATGTCCAAATCGCGCCAAGATTTATTATAAAACCAGGTCGAGTAACTGTTGGTCTTCGCCTTAAGTCTAGTTAAAAAGTAATTTGTATTTCAAGCTACATTTGTGGAAATAGCATTATTCTTTACAACACTTTATCAACAATCCCCAAGTGTTGAGGCTCGGTGGCTTGTAGAGAGAAGGGTTCATGGCTATCCTTTTGGGCATCCAGTTCTGAAGTTTCCCATGTTAATGTTGCACAGCCATACTGGCCAAGTGCTTTCTTGTGACAATTCTCATGTAACTGTGTTTACCAGACTCGTGTTGTGTCTCCTAATGCTGCACTTACTCCACTCTGTAATTTATATCACATTCCGTTATTGTTTTACCTGTTATTGTCACTCCTTTTGTTTAATTGTGTTGTGATGGATGGTGTGGCCGAGGGTGTGGTAGTGTGTGGCCGAGGGTGTGGCAGTACACACTGTTCAGCAGCAAAGTGGGACCTTACTGAGAGCACTTAACACACATACTTATATTTACCCCTGAGGGCTACTATCTCCCTAGTGGCCTCGACGGGGACAGGAAGCAGGCGGCTTGTAACAAAGGTCCTGCCATTGTTTCTGAGGATGCCACGATTCATCAACCACTTGCGGGAAATCTTACGAGATCTTCATCTCGATCATGGCGGCTTAGTCGGCATTTTCTAAAGAGTTTACGGCCTTCATGGGGTCCCAGGAGTACAGTTTATAGGACCCCGGTGTGGTACAGTTTATAAGGTCCCGCCAGTACAGTCGGGTTCGTTCTCTATTCAAAATCGGGAATGCCGGGTTCGAATCTCGAGTGGGGACAGAAATGGTTAGGCGCGTTTCCTTCACCTAATGCCCCTCCTCCCTGTTCACTTAGCAGTAAATAGGTACCCCTGGAATTAGTCATCTTGTTGTGGAGTTTCATCCTGGGGAGAACATAAGAACAAAGGTAACTGCAGAAGGCCTATTGGCCCATACGAGGCAGATCCTATTTATAGGAGGATGGTCAGTACAGTTCGACCCTGGGGGACACCTCCATATATGCCTAGGTGCATGCCTTTGTCCCGGCAAAATTAATTAATTATTATTCTGAAAGCGCTTTGAGGTCTTCGTCAACACCAGGCTATTGTTGTTATGAACGACGTCGTAGCGCCTAGGCTTTCATACAGTTTAGTAAATGCCGAATAAGGAATCACGATGGAGATACGAGCTGGCGGGCCTCACACTGTAGTGCTGAAATAGTGTGTTTATGTAAAGAGACACCACCTGTGTAAGTGTTCATACTCTTTGTACCTATACTGGACTTTCCAGTTATGAAGCATATATATAATATATATATATATATATATATATATATATATATATATATATATATATATATATATATATATATATATATATATATATATATATATATATATATATATATATATATATATATATATAATAATATATGATCTAGTTTGGATAGTTAATTTTTTATATGAAATTTTTGGCTGCTTATTAAATAATGTTGCCAAACTGTTGCTATTTACAAAGTACGAGTTTGCATAAATAAGGAACTCACAACTTTGTATCCATTTCCTGATGAATTAGGAAGTAGCAGATGAGGAGCCACGCCCCCCTACTGGTGAAGGGGGTCTCGATGGCTCCTGTAGACTTGGGCAGGATACACAGACTTTTTCCTGAGGACAGTACTTTTGTTTCTGATCTCTGCCTTTGCTTTAGCTCCTACAGCAAGACTCGTAGTGCTCTTAACTGTAATTATCTCAGTGGTTCATGTTTCCTGTTATATTCAATATAGAAATTCAAATCGCTATCATAAGCATGTTTTATTTTGTTACTTTTTTTCGTTTAAATTTCTCCAGTAAATAAATAACCAACACATAGATGTTTAAAACCTATGGGAAATTTATAGCTGTGAAATTACTTCACGTCTAACATGCTGCAGTGAACAAATTCCTGTGTTTAATTGTTTAATGTCACGTCAGATGAACAATATTTCTTGATTAGAGTATATATAGTCATCCTGGATTGGCGCCGCCGTTTGGTAATTACGGTACTTGATTCCAGTAACAACCGCACCAAAAATATTTAAATACTGTAATCAGTTGTTACGCTTCGCTACTTTATCTTGGCCAAACTAATCTGTCCGGCATTTGTTATGTTCGCTTCAGTTTCTAAACCATACGACAAAGGCATGTGAGCGGGAACTCGCGAGGGTTATGTCTAGTGCTGTGTCAGCTCTAGTCTAGTTAGGGAGAATGAGCTTTATGATAGGATAGTTTTAGGGCGAGTTTGTGGATTGTTAACCTGAATATCACCAACTTTGTTAACTCTGTGAAAACCAATCCTGTTTTATGTTTTCCTGAGCCAGAGTCCAATATACTACATAAGATTTTGTCCCACGAGTTATTAAAAATATAAAAATGCATTTTTATAATTTAGCAGAATTGATGCCATACATTTATTCTGCAGAGGGTATGACACTTTCTGCACCACAAATATTTCTTGTTGACCATCAAATAAAAAATTCTAATGACGTGGCGTTTTATTTTATGCTGATTATTGTTACTTAAAACCTAAATGGCACAATACTGAACAGTAACGTTATTGTTCTCTTGCTAATGTGACCCATGCAACATATCCACATAGGAACCACTCGACAAGAGAAACATTACTGGGGCCTTACATCGCCAACTCCTCAGGAAGGACACGATCAATACCGCTACCTTTTATAAGTCACAACTTGCAAAAAAATGCTAAACATACCTGGAGAGGGTTCTGGGAGTTCTGCTCCCCGAGTCCGGCCTGAGGCCAAACTCGATTTTGTGATCTATGGAATCTATGTGATCATAATCATTTTTGTTCTCCTAAAGAGTAATGAATGACTTATGTAACGGTAACAACACAGACTAAACTGTGAAGGACAAAAATAAAGTGGACCTTCACAAGAAATCGCATTCCGCTCCATTATAGACACAGGTCAGCGGATAAGTACAGGTTATCTTACTTAATAAGTCCTTGCTTAAATTAGTCTATAATAACAAAATCTGAAGAATAAAATTAAACCTTCGAATGATTTTATACACTGGAGATTTAGGCGTAACGGAACTGGTCGAGGAATTGTATCTACCACTCAAAGTTCTTTCCAGAAAATATCTAAGAAAGGGAAAGTTCCATAGATTGAAAATATGCAAATGTCACCCCAGCTTAAAAAAAAAATACAAAACTATCGATCAATCAGAATAATCTCATATATCTGCAAGCTCATGGAGAAAATCTTAACGGGGAAATCATTCACCATCTCACAATGTACTACCTAGTAAAACCAACGCAACATGATTTTGTTAAAAATGAATCTTGCCCTACTAACCTGCTTACATTTTTGGTAAATGGTAACCAAACGAAGGAATTCCAGCAGACGAAATATACATAGACTTATTTATCTAAAGCTTTTGATAAGTGCCGCATGAAAGGCTGGCGGGAAAATTACAAGCATACGGAATTAATTAAAAAACTAGAATGGATAAACTTGCAATGGCTAAAACAAAAAAGAGCAAAGGGTTGTCATGAATATGATGGCAGTGGAGTGCCCAAGGGCCCATTTTAGGGTCAGCCCTTTTGTCACATAAATCAGTGACACAGATGAGAGCATTACATACCAAATTATCAGATTTGCAGATGACTCTAAGATCTGTGGTAAAGTAGAAAGTGAAACGATATTGAGGCCTTATAAAGAGATCTAAATGAGGTCCCCTATAGTTAGAAGACCGGCAAATACTTTTTAATATTGAAAATGCAAGACCTTGTATGTAGGTCGTAAGAATGCACATTACAACTATTAAATCAATAACACTACCATGCAGCAGATTGAGGAATATGGCAGGTGGTTACAGGTAATGAGTCCCCTATCAGTGAGCTCTTTAGTTGTAAACTGTACAAACAAGAGCTCGGACACACTACAACACTATATTTCACAATATCCTGTTATCAGTGACTTCAGACTAGATGGTACGAGATATTTTGTAACTACTTCATACACACAAATATTGGAAGATATTCTTGTGTGTATTCTACATAACAACTAGCCCGCATTATAGCAAACCCAGAGCTGTTTGCTAGTGCAAATTAGTTGACTAGACTCGCATCTCATATTTTATCCACATTTCATATATGACTAACCATCCTGTGAGGTGATGTTAGACGAACTCATACCTACCGTTTGATCTATACTCTGTAATTCTTCATATAGAATAAGGGAGAAGCATATTGGTGTATTGCCCTAAGCTTGGTGAAATGAAAAAAAAGTTTTCTTCCTATTAGTAAGTTTTGTACTTGTTGGTATGGGGTAATGTTCACTCACAGGACGAATAATACTATGTGGTGAACTACAAATATAAAAATATTAAATACAGCTGCAAAATAAACTTTCCTCTTGGGGCAAAACTGAATTAAATACAAACGTTCTCACTCTCCCCAAGACCACAAGTTTACCACAGAAAACGTGAGTGATGCAGAGTGTGAGAAGCGAGCATCTCGCCGCCACAACAACAACCGGTGAGGGCCTCAATATTTTTCTTTATTAAACTTATAAACTAAACAATGAACTAAATTAGTTCATTGATGAACTAATTAGAAAAATGACTAACATAAGTGTCTATGTATTCACAGTTTAGTTAGTTTAGCTTATTAGAGTTCAACACGTCTCGTGCACTCAACTCGCAGCTGAGAGCTTGTGTGAGGTACAAAACACTCCTGTGCCAGGTATTGGTGAGCCACTACGGGCTCACCATAGCCCGTGCTACTTAGAACGTTTTGTTCCCAGTAGCTGAATCTAAAACAACAACAACATTGTATGAGGCCTGCAGATGAGAACTGGAGTGGGGGGTGAGAGCGGTTGTCTGCTCTCTAGCCAGGCTTGTAGCATCTGGTGTAGGGGTTGGAGGTAGACTGGTGATGCTGATTGATGAAGATTAAGCCACTCAAGAGGTGGCACGGGCATGAATAGCCCGTAATGGTGATACTGTTGGTCCAATCATTTTATATCTGTGTCCACTTTACCTAGTGTTGGACCCAGTTTGTTCCTCACTCGAGTCTGGTCAACATCTGGTCTGATGGAAAGCTTGCTGGATACTATGGGCTCTCCTAACTGATTTGTGGAAACCTTTGAGATTTGTTAGATATTTTTGGTTAGTGAATAAGATTGCAGGTGTCATTAGCAAATTATGGTGATTACTGGGAACCTTTAAGTAGTTACAATAGACATTTAGAGAATTTGGAATGTATCATAAGAATAATTTCAGTAGTTGCCACATTATCTCTAGTTGCTATAATTTCAACTGTCTTATTGAAATAAATTATTGTGGAGGATTCAGTAAAGATTGATAAGTTTTCAGACATAATTTCTTATCGCAATGAGGGGCTTGAGATGGGCAGATGGTCACCATCTCTTACAAAAGAGGTCAATAATAACCACAGCATGGCGCTTTTTGCCCGAGCGTGAGTAGAACTATAATACGTTATTATGTTATGTATAGTTTATATCATAAACTTTCAATACTGTACTGTATTGATTGCCATTACTGTATTTGTTTATAGTTATTTGAAATATTTATATACTGTACCAGTAGTGCAGATATGAATTGTTTTCAGTATACTGTATGTATGTAATATTATACAGTATACTTTTTTATTTGCAGCGAGAAAACGTTTCTATAGAAATGTAACGGTTGCTGGAGCCAATAGCACATACGAGATCAATCTTGACCATCGAAAATTAAAGACACCCCTTGGAAATATACTACAAGTAAGTGATGTAATATTAGGTGAACTTGGGAAGGTTTTTTCAGGCTGGGTTAAGATTTTTCTATTGTTCCCCCCCTTCATGTGCCTGCTGAGAACAGCTCAAAAGTTCTTAACTGCATCTGGGATGGAAAGTTGTATTGGTAACACTGTACTCACCTAATTGTGCTTGCGGGGGTTGAGCTTTGGCTCTTTGGTCCCGCTGTGTTTTTTGTTATGTTCTGCGATGAACTGGACATTACTTAATGGAGTGATTGAGTGGCTTAAGCTTGGAAACAAAAAAGACATGAACTAAGCTTATTTCCATTAATATGATATATTTCTTTTTAAAGTTTAGTTCATGTCTTGTTTGTTGCAACTTGCAATAAGTTTTTCATTACAATTGTATTTTTCATTTTAGGTTCCCAACTATGGCTTGGCATTGGCTGTTGCTAATGAGTGGGCAGCTATAAAAAATAAGATCCACCCTAGTCTCTTGCATTTGGTAAGTGTTTACTGTATAATGTGAGGCTCCCTCTGTCAAGTTTTCACTTCTGGTGAGATTGCCACTTCAGTTCTAGCCGATATTTGTATTCCACTATAAATTGTCAAATCCTAGATTAGGTCTGTACATTTATCACTTCATCATATAGAATTGTATTTTAGTCTTGTCTAAACATGCACACTGGTGGCACCATCAAGCACACTGGTGGCACCATCAATAGGCTATAATTTTTTTCAAAATAGGAAATTGTGACTGGCTTTACACTAATGAAATTGGCTTCATACCGTGTCACTTCATTTGAATGTGGTATGCATTTGAACAACATTCGCTCACAAATGGCAACACTATTAGGTCTCATCGTGAAATATTTTCTGGACAATAAATTAAGAATGGTTGTGAATCTCGGAAAAAACAATTAGTTTTTTGTGCAGAATTTTTTTTTAAGTACATTTGAATCTCATTCATCTAAATAGTGTCATCAGTAGACTGTATTTAAAAAAAGTTGAAAAAAAAAAGTTGATGGTTTAGAGCCTTATTCTTAAGGTTACTAGTTATATCTTGTCCCAAAAACCTCATTGGAAAAGTATTTGAAAGATGTTCTTCAAAAGTTAATATGGGTTTGATTACCTACCTGGGTAGTTCATGGTATCCTGGACATGTTTGCTGGTAATACCATTTAAGATAGTAAATCATGGATAGTTGGATCTGTTGTAGTGAAATTGAATCAAATGATGTGTTGCTATGTGGTTGTTGATTTAGGGGCGACGACGATCGTGGGATTAGATGTGCCCCGGTGTACCCGTGTTACATTAATCGTGCCAAGGTTGAACCAGGAGTCCGATGTGTTATTATAAGAATTCACATGGTATTGTTATTCAGCCACACCATTAATGCTGAGCATCTTTCATGAGACAGTAAATCACAATTGCTGATGCTGATAAAAAACTATGAATTCAGTTGCTTTTCACCTGCATTAATCATTGGTGATGTCACCAGTGGAATGCAGTTATTTTATTTTCTAAACATTGACATTGCTAAGCAGCTAGACCAGTGTTTCTCAACTAGGGTTCTGCAGAACCCCAAGGTAACTAGGGGTTCCATAAGAGATGGTGTCAGATAGGCTAATTCTAATAATGTGCAAATATATTCGAGTCATTTTTGTGTTTAATTTTTCTCATTTAACCAGTGTCGATAGCAAAGACAGAAATTCTTCCTTCAGTTAACAATGAAATGTGTGCGTTTATTTAAAGTACGACCCTAAATTATTTTAAGGGATACAAAAGGTTGAAAAATGCTGAGCTAGACATTCAGCTGGAGGAAAAAGAAAAGGAAAGTTGTTGGACTCCCATTCAGAGAAGCTCTCAAATGAAGACCCTATGTTGGAAGCAGCAAAGATTTCGGGTGAAGCCGTTCCATAGGTGGTAGCTGAGACACCCCACCAATACCATTCATAGTCATAGCAATGATAAAAGGTATTTAAGATAATAGATGATCCATTGACAACATTTGAAGAGCAAGACCCTGACACAGATATTCAAGCATATCAAAATTATTACACAATGTAATACGTAATTTCTATTCCTGGGTAGAATTATTTTGATTGCTTATGCCTCCAAAAGTATAGAAAATTACTTTTCTCCCTTCAAACTTTACTCTGATCTCAGTAAATGGTACTCTATCCTCAGACAGCTTGGGAAGACATCTTAAAGGTATTGATCAACAGGATGAAGAGAAAAGGCTGCAGCTGACAAAACTTGGAAGACAGCATCTTAAGAGAGGCAGAGAGAAAGAGGAGGCAGACAAAAGGTTAATTCAAAGCTAAAAACTGGGCCAACACAGCCTTTGTTGACATGCGAGTTGAGCCAAGCAAAATGCTGCCACTGCCTCCCAATAGAAAGGAGTGAGCATCTTGGGCAAGGTCTCCACACCCAGGGGGGGAAGAGGGAGTCAAGCAAAGCAACATCCTAATGAAGTGGCTCAGAGAGCCCCTCCATGAGAACCCAGAAATGCAAAACCTCCTCCTAGTGTATATACACCCAGTGATCATCCACAATGATTGTTGGACAGCACAGGCAGCTACACATGAAGCTGCCACTTGCCCATGTCCTTTGTGAGTGCCAAAGCAAATGGTGAGTCTCCTAGTGGAGCATGAGGAATTTCATTAAATTCACTATTGGAGTTATGCTTGATGCTGGCTGAATTCTGTCATAGGTTTACAGGATAATTTATCCTTGGTTTCATTCCAGTCCCCGTGGCGTAGTGGCAAGACGCTAGCCTGGCGCGTCGCGAGCACTTTGTCCTGGGTTCGTATCCTGGCCGGGGAGGATTTACTGGGTGCAAATCCTTAACTGTAGCCTCTGTTTACCCAACAGTAAAATGGGTACCCAGTTGTTAAACGATTTGGCAGGGTCATATTCTGGGGAACATAGCATTTTGGGCAAGTCCTAAATCCTATGCGTGCTAGTGGCTGTACAAGAATGTAAGAACTGTTGTATTATCAGTTGTAAGTGTTGTTGTTGTAAGTAAATAAAATACAAAAATTATCTAACTTGGATTGGAGAGCTGTGTTGCATTTCCTTATTGTCTTGCACTGACTTTACAGACTGCTCTTGCCAACACTGTGATAGACAATCCAAACCATGAAAGCAAGTGGAATATTGTTGACAAAACTGTGAAATATTTGGAGACTGACACTCTGCTTTTCCGAGATAATGTAAGTATTGTAGTAAAGGAATCGGTTAAGACACCATATTAAGGTACTCCTGCTTCCTGTTTTAACTCCCATTGCTGCTACTCGTACTCCTCTTCTGTTCTAATTCTTTTAATATTTCTCTAACCCTCTTTCCCTTCCCCACTACCTTCCTTATCTCATTAAATTTTTATCTCTCTCTCTCTCTAATATATATATATATATATATATATATATATATATATATATATATATATATATATATATATATATATATATATATATATATATATATATATATATATATATATATATATATATATATATATATATATATATATATATATATATATATATATATATATATATATATATATATATATATATATATATATATATATATATATATAATATCGCTCACATCACAACATTCTTGTAAATAAAATATTTTGGAAATTTTAATATCTTCCGTATTAGAGCGAGTTACTGAGTCGGTAGTGAATTTAGATCTCCAATATCTCCTTACCTCACCCCCCCTCCCATTACATAGCAAAGCCATCTGAGAAGTCTTTTGTCATGGTGGAGAGTTAAGTCTCATTGGGCCTTGTGAATGGTGTCATCCTGGAAATGAGAGCAACTTGAGGTACTGACTCGAATAAGTGTGTTTCATACATTCAAATCTTTATTTTTTACTAAAGATGGTAAATATTTGTAGGTAAATTGAATAGAATGATGCAAAGGTGCTGGGTTGTGCTAAGCAGATACTAGTTAAGACAACAAGAAGGGGTTTGTTATATTTGTCAGACTGTAAGGAGAGAGTGGGATTGGTGGAAATGAGGGAGTTAGTAATGGAATTGATAATGAATATAATGCATAAGGAAAATTTAAATGTTCCAGCTGACTATATTGTGTAGTGTAATATAATGTAAATAAAATACTTGGTTGTAAGAATGAAATGGCTAATGAGACTTTTTGTGAGCTCGACCACTTCGTTGCTCACTAACGCAAGATCCTGCTTGCCCATGGATAGGACCAGCAACAGTTGGACAGGTTGATGTTACACCCCATTAAATAGTACAGAAAAGTGCTTGCCATAAACTCTCACGTTTACAATACAAGAATAAAAGAAATTGCAGAAGGCTTATTGGCCCATAAATGTCTCGGTCGTAGGTACAATAGTGGCCAGGTGAAGCAATTGGCAGTTCGTGTTACTTGACAGTCTTTGCAATGCCAAGTAATGCATGAAAGAATCTTGTGTGAACTTGTCACTTTGGGCTGGATTAAGTATTTCTTCAGTGCCTTCCTAGCACCAATATAACAAATATGGTTTTTTGGTGGAGAATGTCACCCTACCATGACGGGCCTGATCTTACTTAATGGGGCTTGCAGAGATTTTGCCTTGGGGAAGCATCTGAGGTTCTGTCCAGAACAGAGCTTCTCATATTTTATCAAATTCAGATTTTTAAGATCTTGACTAACCATTGTTATATCTCAGGGTACAGAGGCCTTCATCGAGATGCAAGCAAAGGAATGGGATCCAGTTCTAGATTGGTTTAACACAAAATTTGAGATGGACCTGAAGCCATGTGATGGAATCATTGGACCCGATATTCCTTCATCTGCTCGCGAGAGACTCAGACGTTATCTTCTTTCTTATGATATATGGGCAGGAAATGGTAATTGTACTTTCTTTAATACAAGTTAATAATTGCAGTACTTGTACATATCATTTAATTAATATTTTGTCATGTGAGGGAAGATCGCAATCCCTGATTAGAATGTGGTGTTTTGGGCTTGCCTTTCTTTTCACTAACATCACTATTTAAAGAAATTGATCAAGAAGTATTACTCTGTATTGAAATATAATATTTTTACAGGGTTTCTGTATGGTGTGGAAGCACTGAAATCTGTTATCCTGACCATTGCAGCCACAGAACGAAAAATTTCCTCGGAAAAAGCAGTATATCTTTCAAGATTAGAAACAAATTTTCAGGTATGAAAATTATATTTTCTTAAAGCAGTAGAGTTGGTAATATTGCACATTAATTGGACACTTTGATATTTACTTGGTTTCAAGTTTCTCCGATTCCCATGCTTCTCGTCTCGTTGAGAGCACTTCAGGACCTGGCTCCCAGTAGGCAAGGGTGTACATGATGCCTAAATTTTGGCAGCAACATAGCTAAGCTTGTTAGCTACTGAAGTCTTACCAGAAAAGGGCTTGGTTTATGCAGTTTTAACATAGATTATTTTACTTATGGTTTGAGTTTTTCTCAGTTTCAGGCAAGAAATGCAATTGTTAAATTTTGAGATATTCTTTTGAAATTATCCCTTATGGCCAGTTGGTGTTGCCTCGACCCATCCTGTTCCTCTCTGGGCATTTCATGTTTTGTGTAGAAATTGAAACAAACACAAAGTTCCTGTTTGGATCATTGAACTACCAGCTGGAGGAGTTGCCCATCAGGGGCAGCCCTTGAATGTTGATTGGATGTTCAGGCGAGAGGGAGAAAAAGGTTGTAGGAGAATGTACGCTGTAGTAGGGCTCTCTTGTTAAAAAGAGGGACACTGCTTGGGACAATGCACCTTTTTCTGTACTGGTTAGTGCTAGACCTTCCTTGCTGCCCTGGTAGGTAGCATCCCTTGGCTCAAAGGGTACAAACCTTTGAAACAATGATGCATAATAACTGAAACAATTTATCACACACAGGCTCGTGGGGCAGGCAACCAAGCACTCCTGAGTTAGACAGTGATGAAAGATTGGATTCCAAAGCCAGGGTTATGTTAGGCCTGAACCAGGCTTCATCTTGTCTATCCATTCCCCCTCCCACTTCCTTGGCAGGGTGTGTTAAGGCCCCCAAACCTCAGGCTAGAGGCCACCTTGTCACTTGGAGTGGCTCCATATTTTGTTGTGACGACTGCTTCTTTTACTCTCCTCTTTAAATGAATATTTTAATTTGTTACAGTGAACATACACGCCTTGATGGTTTACACATGTACATAAGCAGTTTGCTGACTTTAGACACCTATGGTTTTAACCCCAACCAGACTGAAACATGCACTTTTTTGGTCCCTTCTCAGGAGGCAGCCACCTGCCTAGCTACTTTGTCCTGCATTGATGAGACCCTGGTTCGGGTCTCCAAATATATCCAGTTGAATGTCATCATTGGCATAGTCATTCTCCTGTACCATGTTGCAACTGCAGATATTAAACTCAAAGACTACGATGAGGATATTAAATATATTGTCGAGGGCCACTGTTATTTTATCCTTTACATTGACACATTCACTCAACCTCCTCATGGTCATCATTGTCAACCCCTTCGAGTAGTTAAGATAACTTTTGATGGTAGGATCCTTCCATTCTCTGTAATTCTTGCCAGTGCCAGATGCTCCATTCAGGAATACATTTCCTCTTATTGTCTCTGCAATAGGTGTTGGAAATTTGGATGTGGTTCCTCAAAGTGCAGTAGTGAGATGTTCCTTTGCTCCTTGTGTGGTGGGCCTAGCCATTCTAAGACACATCGCTCTTCCCAAGCTCGATGCATCAACTGCATTGAGGCCAACTCTGCCTCTCCCACACATGTATACCCTACAAATTTGAACAAGGCATCCTCAACTTAAATGCTACGATTGTATATCTTTCCCCGAAAGCAAGACGTCAGGTCCTTGGTCTCAACTCTTTCCGACATGACTTGTGCTCGTACATTTTGCATCACACTACTCTTCCCCACCCTTCTCCCTTCTTCAGTTTCAAACCTTAAACCCTGGCATCACCAGCTCCCCCTCTTCTGCTCCTCTATGATCTAAGGCAGGCTGTTCAAGGATCACCGACTCAAATTTCAACCCTTCCTTCCCAGTCTTCTCCTCCCTGCTGTATTTTTGCCACTTCTCCATCTCCTCTCATTTCTATATCCACTGTGGCCTTCAACATTTGACTCCATTTTTCTTCTGGGCCCTTTCAGACAAGTGTCCATCTAGGCTGACATCCATCCTCCTCCCAGCCATCCTTGCTTTGTCTGCCCTCGTTCTCCCTCCCTGCCTGAGACTATGAAGGCTATCACACAGTACAGTACATAGCTACTGGCATGCCTCTCTGTTAGAAATGTAAAGCTGGTTGCTCTTCCTCTCCGTGGGTAAGTAGGCTTCAGTCCTTTCCCCAATTTCCACTTCTTTGTTCCTACATCTCCTCTCATCACAGCAGTCAGCTGATTCTACTTCTGCCCCTTCCCCATTACCAGACACTGTGGGCTTTTCACTGCTCCTTCCCACCCTCTCAACTTGATCGTCTTTGTTGGATTTACCTATGCCATGATTTCATTGATTCTGCTGATCTTCCCTAGTAGCCTGTGTTCTTCTTTGCCTGTTCTTTACTATGTCTTTTCTTCAATAAAATATGTGTTTTTTATGACAATTTTTATGAACTCCAACTTACCTCAGTTTTCACAGCTTCACCAGGAGCTGGTGTTTGCCATTTGTCCTGTTCACTTTTGTGTTTATTCCTTTTTCTTATTCTCTTCAGCTTTTGCTGGGACCCCTAACTCTACTACTTTTGATCTGAAATAATATTTCCTTTGTACCCCCCTGCTTTTTCAATCGAATGTTCATTCCTCTGCTACACATATCATTGTGAGTAAATGTATACTGTTTGTTCCACAAAACACCTCTTACTTTTCCTGACAAACACCTTTTGGACTCTTTACCAGAGCATGTACAATATTTCTTTTAGGTGATTTTTAACTGTTGGCATGCCCTTTGGGGCAATGATCCGACAAATACCTGAGGTCGTCTTTTGAAAGTTTTCATCTTGTCCATTGTTTCCTGAATTTCAGCAAGCCAACTCACGTTCACTCGCACCCTTTCTTGTATTGATCTTTTTCTTTGCTCTCCTCCATTTTATATCCTGTGGTATGCAGAAGTGCATTTCCTGGTGGATTTTAAGCTGTTTTCGGGCTGAGTGCTGTAAGTGTACGTGGAAAAACACCGACATCAGATTTTTTTTTACAGTACAGTATTTTGTTTTGGAAGGCGAGTACAGTGGCCATTAGGGCCATCCATACAGCTAAACATGAGAGTTCGAAATCAACTGCCTCCACCAATGTGGTTGACATCCCTCTCACTTGGATCTGGAAGAAAATCCATGAGCATGCAGGTATAGTTGTTTCAGACATATTGCTTGTCCTTCATCTTCATTGTTCTGTCATGGCAGATCTGATGTGTTGTTCACGAACCAACTGGGTTCTCACTTTTAAAAGGCATTGGCTCCAGTACTGTACTTATCTTCCTCCTACTTTCTTTCCTCGTAAGCTCCTTATTGAAACTCGTCCCATGGACATTTGCACTCTTACAGCTTTATGTGTGAGACACAAACTTTACCAAAGAGTCAAAGATCAACCCCCGCAAACACAACTAGGTGAGTATAACGACATCCTGTACTTTTATTGTTCCCCTCTCTCCACCTTTTTTTTTTTTCTTTTCTACAAGGAAGACTTGATAAGAAATTTTACAAGCAATTTACATTTGCAATCTCTCTCCTCATGTCGTTCCAACCTTGCCCCTTAAGGAGGGCTTCACTAGCAAAGTTTGGCAGGGCCTTGACCCACATGGTGAAGCCTTGGATCCCCTTCTTCTGTTATGAAATGTCTTTTCTTTTAAAGCTTTACTTTGCACTCGCACTCCAATCCGTCCTCGGAGCAAGTCCATTCCATCGAGCGCATTCCAAAGACGCACTAATCGATTTTAACATGCTGTTCCTTCAAAATAGGAATTTAATCAAATATGAATTATTATTTTATATTTGAATATTGTACATATTTAGGCACTGGTTAGGTTAGGTGTTTAGGTTCTGTTGGCGATTATTTGTAATTGTATTACGTGGATGAAGCATTTACAGCATTGTGATTCAAACAAAATTCGTCAGTGAAGCACTTGTTCTGGAAGAGTTCGAACATCATCAGTTGCGAGTCGTGTGTAAGCCATTTTTCATTCATAAATGGGATTTGGCGGGGTGCATGTAATGAACTTTGGGTCTTTGTTTAGAGGACGGGCTACACACTTCATTGCCTTCATAGTTGGAGCAAAGTCTCGACGGTGTTGACTATACTCTGTTGTCTTTCCTGACCAAACTTATGAGTTGCCTACCCCCGGAGACTAGCATCTTCACAGTGGAACTATATGCAATTTTGTATACTCGTCGACCACTTTTCTAATGTCTCTATTCCTTTCTCATTCTAGTAGACTTTTGCAGTCCCCTCGTGGCTCTGAGTCATTTAACCCTTTGCTTCCTGTTATAGGCAATGCAAGTTGTTTCTCATCTTCATATGATGGTTGTTTCTTATCACTAACAGATTTAAGACAATTGAGTTTAGCTGGATTCCGTCATATTGGTATTACCTTGAATGTGCGTATCACTACCACTAAGGAGGCTATTTGCACTTGTCCTATTGCTCAAAAAGGCATTCCTTATTCAGATTTCTATCCAGTCATTCATTCCTTAAGCTGCAGCATTGGTAAGGTCATTTGGATGGCATTACAGGTAACATACACACTTCACATTCTTAAAAGTAACCTATCTCTTTTTTGTCTTCCTCCTACCACCATAATAGGTTGTGAGAAATTAATGTAGCTAGGTTATGCATTGGCCACACATGCTGAACTCGTGGGCATTTCATACATTCAAATCTTCATTTTTCAGCAGGGTGGTGGATGGACCACCACCCTGCTCCTTATTGTCCCACTTACATTCGTGTACAGCACCTCCTTGTAGCCCGTCACGATTTTCACGACTCGTATGTTTTGCTTTCCTAATGCCCCTCGGTAATCCATGAATGCATTACCCTTGATATCGCTCGCCTTGTGTGTGCTTTTGTTCTTACATTGTCATCCTAAGTGGTATTTATTGCCTTTTGACTATCCAGCAACACTGATCCCATAGACTGCATGGGATGACTACATAGTCATCCCACTTTGGTGCTTATGATTACATCTGAATCTTACAGTAAACTAAGGTTGTGGGATGTTTCAAATCATTTTTATTAATATTGTAGCTTAGAATATAATGCAGATAAAAGGTACAGTATCCATTGTCATTTATGCAAGTGTGTGTTTTTTTTACTTTGTTTTTCTTTATAGACGTCATATTGGGGACCTGTAGAATGGGCCCATGATTTGGACAAGTATGACCTTGAGGCAAGATTTTCTGCAGCTCTGCTCTTCATCTATTTCAATACTTATCAAGGTACTTTGAAGCAGAAAGCTGAACCAAACAGACATTGAATTTTGTCAAGTTCTATTCCATAACTTATCCGAAGTTGTTCAGTCTTTATATTGCACATAATAAATTGAATGATATGAATGTTGTCTTTCAGTGTTCATTCTGATATTGCCTGCATAACACACTTTCCTAGAGCAGCTGGTGAGTCACTAACATGGCTGAAGATATAACTCAACCCCACACTTGAAAATGAAGAAACTTATGTCCTGGATCATTATAGTCAGGTCCAGAACGGACCAAAATGTCGTACTGTAAAGTAGTTTCTTCATTTTCTGATGTGTGATTGGTCATAAGATAGGCAGATTTATTTTTTATTCAAACATATGTAGGTGTTGCATTTGTATAGCTGTTTCTTGCTTTATGAAGCAAACTTTTATCATAAATATCTTGAATCCAATCTAACCTCCCAGTTCTTGGGTATTAGTTTATACTTTGGCAACAAAATGTAAGCCTAAACCTAGCCTAGGTAAGCTCATAGGAACAAGATTGAAAAGGCTGGCTATGGGAGCTTCCTTTCTTACTTTGGAGAAAGACAGACTTTATATATAATATTATAGTAAACTATTATAAAATATTTTGTATTCAATAATAAACTGTAGGGGGTATTAGAAGAAAATACTAAAGTATTAAAGGGTATTCATGAAAGACTTTTTAGATTTTCTCTTATTTTCTTCTACGAGACTATGGGTCCCTACAAACACACCAGTGGTGGTACTCCTGTATGATACAAATATTCAGGTAAATTATAAATTAAGCACGTGATTCAGATACATTTAAAAAAAAAAGTTTCACCAATTGTTTATTAATCAGGTAGTATGTTTTCAATATTTGTATCCATTATGAAAGTAATAATAATTTAACATTTGTGAAATATTAAATAATCATTTGCTTATAAACAATCCTTCATAAAAATACATTTTATTTATATAGGCTTATAACCTACACAAAATAATGCCATTAATTTACCGTTATGATTATGGAACAAATATCTAATTTCTTATCACCGATCACGAACATTTATTAATACTTGGTGAACTTGAGCGTCTGACATCCTCATTTATATCGTTTGTTAGAGGGTGTTAATATTTAGCATTGCTTTACACACACTTACAATCTTCAAATAATTATATTGCCAGCACCCATTTTTAATATCTTTACAAAAAATCATAAATATATATACAAGAATATAGAGTATATAGAAATTTAAATTCTAAGATTTTTAGAACTTTTTTTTTTAATATGAATACTTTCACAACTTTCCTTCAAATATAGCAGGCAAAAAAATAAAATTTGACATCAATTGCAATATAGTAATTAGCATAGGCACCAATATCTAAAGCTAATGGACAAGGCTCATAACTTTTCTTACAATTTTTTTTTTCCCACTTTTAAAATCATTTCATAAGACCATACATCGTAATTTGTCTACAGTTCCAAACTGATCTTAAAATGCATTGACAAAGATGTATTATACTTTCCATTCTGGAATGGCACAAGCAATATAATGGACACTATATATATTTTTGGTTATTGGCATTTCATATACTTTTTTTTTTAACTCTTGGGCAACAATGTATATTACTATTTCTCAACACACCTATGAGAAATGATGATATAAAAACCTATAGAGCTTATCATGATTTCACATTTCTCTGGATATTGTTAGGTTAAGTATTGCCTGATATTTTAAGATCATAAAACTAGTTGGTAACTTTATCCAAATTCCAGGAACTGATAACGAGAATTTACTAATATGAAATTCTGTATATCCAAGGAAATACTTGGAATTAAAAAAAAATCCATATTTTAAATTAATTTGGAAAGTAGACGAAAAATTTAATAAATTCTTCAAATATTTATAAATTTGCCGAGTGCAAGGGTTAAAACTCCAAGCTTCCTTGATTAAGCACTGAATAAGACAGTAAGATGCTGTAACAACAATTCTCACAAAACACACAATCAAATAAAAATAAATTATGAACCACTTAAAATTACTTTACAAATATTAACAACAAAATTCTTACTTTCACAATGTAAATAAATACCATTACTTTTATGGAAAAAAGACAAACTGGCACAAAGAAAATACACTAAACTGACTGGCACAAAGACCTGCTCTTGAAAGTATAGTATAGATCTTGTGTACTTTTCAAGCATTCCAAATGTTTCAATAAACTACAAAATTAAATGGACAATACAAAGAGCACCAAAGATATAAAGCAAATATTATACGTTTCTTTACATACACCGTATAGTTACATATAGAAACTACATACAGTATTGCAATAAGTGATTTAGCAGTGATTTTTGAGATCATATTTTAAAAAGTATTAATTTTTTACTTAAGAAGACCAACCTATAATAATACATATGTAATCAACACCTTGTGCATACAATTGCTCAAATACACACGAATCACTGAGAAAAAAGAAAAGATATGAACATCAATACCATACTGTATACAGCAAATACACTGCACCCTCAAAAAATAGGATCATATAGTTTTGGATTCAACCCAGAACTACTCTAAAACCAAATTATTGAAAATTGCATTTTTTTTTTTTGCCATTTATCACCAAATTTTGTGTACATGTTTAGAAACAAATAATATACAAACTTCTGCAACCACCCTGAACTGGCTGTGAAGTAATTAATGCCCATGGTTTCATTCTTTCAGCTACATATATTGTATACTGAACTGTGCACCACCAACAGCCAGAGACCCGGGCTACAATGCTATGTATATCACTGGTCAACAGTCACTTCATATCCTCATATGTTACTTAGAAGTGATGGAGAGATGATTTTTTTTTTTTTTTTTTTTTACTCGCAACTCCACAATCCACCTCCAAGGGCAAATAGTGATCTATCTGCTCATGTTCAAAACAACACTTATAATAAACTCCTTTGCCAGCCGAGCCTTCCAGCTATGATCATCTTTCTCCAATAACTTGTATTTCTTATCTATTGTAAAGAAGTTCCTCTTAACCTTGCCAGATCTACCCACACTCATCTTACCAGATGACATGATTTCAACTTACAAACATATAATAATACTGTAATGTATTTATATAAAATAAGAGTGAAAATGGCCGAGTAACCAGAGGTGGGACTGCACTCATACATGAGGAAAACACAGTTGATACATGTGGCTTTACAGTAGACTGAATGCAATAGAAAAACCCTTTTTGTACTATTTAAGGTACAGTACAAGCTTCATAAAACATTTATAAAGTACGAATGAATTTTTTGGAATAATAGTTACACAGTATTTAGAAAAGCAAGATAGTAAAAATAGAAAAAATAAACAACCAGATGAAAATTACTCAACATGACAAACCGACACTTCAAATTTCATATCCCCCCCCCCATTAGATTTTTTGTCCCTCATTTTTTCAACTACAGGTGTAATCCAAATGTTTGAAGGAAAATCTGCTGTAAAGACTTCACCCTTTTAGTGTTATATGGAGGTCAACATTTTTTGTGTGCACTGTATATTATATTATATTGGTTCGATTCCCGCACGAGTCAGAAACAAATGGGAAAAGTTTCTTTCACCCTGAATGCCCCCGTTACCTAGCAGTAAATAGGTACCTGGGAGTTTGTCAGCTGTCACGGGCTGCTTCCTGGGGGTGGAGGCCTGGTCGAGGACCGGGCTGCGAGGACACTAAAAGCCCCGAAATCATCTCAAGATAACCTCAAGAAGATATATATATATATATATATATATATGTCGTACCTAGTAGCCAGAACGCACTTCTCGGCCTACTATGCAAGGCCCGATTTGCCTAATAAGCCACGTTTTCATGAATTAATTATTTTTCGACAACCTAACCTACCTAACCTAACCTAACCTATAAAAATAGGTTAGGTTAGGTAGGGTTGGTTAGGTTCGGTCATATATCTACGTTAATTTTAACTACAATAAAAAAAAATTGACCTCATACATAATGAAATGGGTAGCTTTATCATTTGATAAGAAAAAAATTATAGAAAATATATTAATTCAGGAAAACTTGGCTTATTAGGCAAATCGGGCTTTGCATAGTAGGCTGAGAAGTGCGTTCTGGCTACTATGTACGACAGTAGCCAGAATGCACTTCTCGGCCTACTATGCAAGGCCCGATTTGCCTAATAAGCCAAGTTTTCCTGAATTAATATATTTTCTCAAATTTTTTTCTTATGAAATGATAAAGCTACCCATTTCATTATGTACCAGGCCAATTTTTTTTTATTGGAGTTAAAATTAACGAAGATATATGACCGAACCTAACCAACCCTACCTAACCTAACCTAACCTATCTTTATAGGTTAGGTTAGGTTAGGTTAGGTTAGGTTAGGTAGCCGGAAAAGTTAGGTTAGGTAGCTGAAAAACAATTAATTCATGAAAACTTGGCTTATTATGCAAATTGGGCCTTGCATAGTAGGCTGAGAAGTGCGTTCTGGCTACTAGGTACGACATATATATATATATATATATATATATATATATATATATATATATATATATATATATATAAGACAAGCATTTATATAGCCCTTTTTGACAACAGTTTTCAGTGACCAATAATTTAAATTGCTTACTATTAACAGACATCACACCCACTGCATATGACACACACAGGCAGAGACTTGTACAGTCTGGCAAGAAAAATCAGCAATTTCAAAGTATCGTACAGTAGAACAGACTATAGGTAAAACATGACACTACGATGCAGACACTACGCACACAGAAATAACATCACATAAGACCAGAAGGCATGGTAGGATGTGCAGAATACCCCCCCACCATTGAAAAGCAGAGGTGCAACAGATACTCAGAGAGAGAGAAAGAGAGCTCTATCAACATCAGAAGCCTGAGACTGTTCAACACGCTTCCACTACACATAAGGGGCATAACTGGCTGGCCCCTTGCAGTGTTCAAAAGAGAACTGGATAAGCACCTCCAAAAGATACCTGATCAACCAGGCTGTGATTCATACATCAGGCTGCGCACAGCTGCGTCCAACAGCCTGGTTGATCAGTCCAGCAACCAGGAGGCCTGGTCGACGACCGGGCTGCGGGGACGCTAAGCCCCAGAAGCACCTCAAGGTAATCTCAAGGTAAGGTAACGAACATAGCTCATCTTGTAACTACACTCGGGTAATTACAGAAAGGGTGCAAGGACATGCCACGTAATGGCATCCAGACCTAAAAAAACAAAGTTTATAAATAGAAGAAATAAGGCGATATGATCGCCACATTCAAAATTGTGACAGGAATTTACAAGTTGACAAAAAATTTTAAGACCCTGGAACTTCTAGAACAAGAGACTAAGAAAGCAAAGCTGCCCCTCCAAAATTCCAGAGTTGTGGCTAAAACAATTTAAGAAGTGCTAAATTCCTAAACCATCAGCAGTATCAAAGTATCATATGACAAAGATTTTAGTGAAAATGGGACACAATGAGCACAGCACTTACTTATTCTGTAACTACACTTAGGTAATTACACATGAACATCCAGTCATATTCATTGTCACAAACCAAGCAATTCCTCCCTCCCCCCAACGCGCTTATACTACTGTATCACAACCATATTTTCATGTGCACACTGTATCAAATGAAGGTATTCCTGCAAGAAGAATAATTCACAATAATGTAGCTGAAAACAAATATCCAACTGACACATGTAATGAAATGAAAGTGACAACGTTTCAAGCTATCCTGGACTCTTATACTCGTAACCGAGCAGCATTTAAAGAAATATAACGTTCAGTGTCTGTGTCTATGTCTGTGTGTGTCTATATTATATACATACATACATACATACATACATACATACACACACACACACACACCAGTATACACTGTATTTGCCGGCATATATGACGTGCTTGTTTTATTTTTAAATGTATACAAAAATTGCTCTGCATCTTATGCGGCCACATTATGGATGCGAGGCACAAAAATCGTTGCTAATAATAAAATATTTAAAACAAGCCAAGTAATCACAGTTTGTTATCACAAGCTTACAAAAAATTGCTTACAATATATGTTGGCAGTTATGAAGGAAGCTCACACCATCTCGCCACCTTACCCAGCATACATAACCCACACCTAATATGTGTCATATATTATTTAACGACTGTGTTACCTTTAAGAAATGTTTATTATCTAAATGAAAAATGCTCCTAGAAATTTGAAAGGAATGTTAAACTTTCATTCGCCGGTCAGCCATTTGCAATGAATGAATGACAACAAAACCAGAGTGCTGTGGTGGTGCGCCACAGCACTCGCCACGCATCAGGCCTTGGTGGCCTGATGCGGCAACACAAAGCATCACATCCAGAAATGCAAGTTTCACATCCTGTATAGCAATTCTTTTGCCCAAAATATAAACAACTATACAGCTGATCTTAGATGAGGTAAGAATTCGGGTACAAAATCCACTTTAAAATATCTTTCAATAAATGTTTGATGAAACATACTAAAAGTTTTGTTCCACAAAATATCATTGTAAAATAAGGGTGCGTCCTATGCGAGGGTGCATCTTTTACGCCGTCAAATACGCTATGTATGTATGTATGTGTGTGTATATATATACATACATATATATACTGTATATATACACACGCACATATACATATATACACACACACATGTATACATATATACAGTATACATATATACACATACATATACATATACATACATACACACACACACACAGTGGTACCTCGGTTTACGAACACCCGTTTACGAACTTTTCGGGTTACAAGCCCGATTTGTTCGGAAAATTTGAATCGGGATACGAGTTTGTTGATACGTGTATGGCCGATCTAGCCCGTGGTGGCACGGCGATTGAGCCTCAGTTTACCTGTGCCTCGCGCCCAGTGACTATTCCGTCTGAATTCTTCACAAGTATTTACAGTTTCTTTTCGGATTTTTGGCTATTTGACTATAAAAGTTGTTATACTGTATCTCACCATGGGTCCTAAGAAAGCCAGTGGTAAGGTTCAAGGCAAGAAATCACATGTGAGAATGACCATAGAGGAAAAACAAGAGATCACTCGTAAGCATGAAAATGGTACTCGTGTTGTTGAACTAGCTAGGCAGTACAACAAATCCATGTCAACAATATGCACTGTACTTGCCAAGAAGCTGTAGTAGGCCGCTGCATTAATCTTTTCAATGACAATGTGATGCCTCACTACAGACAAGTGTTGCAAAGAAGGGAAAAACAATCTTCAATGGAACATTCCTTGTGAGAAAATCAAGCAATGAGCCACAACCAGGTATGCAGGCAAAACGTGCCAGAGAGTGCACTCCAGAGAAATATTCACTGCCTGATGTTATAATGGAAGGGAACTTCCTTTCCAAACAGTAACACCTCTCCTCCTCCCCCCCTCCTCACCATCTTCCATACGCCAACCGGAGTCATCAGCAAAGATAAGTAATAACTTGAACATACTTTTTGTAGTGAAGATTTGGGTGAATTAGGTATAAAATTGACTTTGAAATGAAGTTTTTGGGGAGTCAGGAACGGATTAATTCATTTCCCATCATTTCTTATGGGGAAATTCGCTTCGGTTTACGAATTTTCGGGTTACGAACCGTCTCTAGGAATAAATTAAATTCTTAAACCGAGATACCCCTGTATATATTATCAGATTTCTAAAATCAATCCTTCACAAGTATGATGCCCAATACATATGTCTTTCAAGCAATATCCTCGATAAATCCTCAGAGTAATGTGTCCAATACGTAAATGCATTGACTACTGTAAAGGATGGATTATAATACCCACACGAAAAGTATATCTTCAGAATTATTAAGATTTATCAATGTTAATGATATATTATAACTACTGCAAGGCTTTGCAACTGGATAAAATACATTTACTACATATTAGCCATTTCAAAATATTTGCAAAATTGTTTTTATATATGGGATGTTGACCAGACCACACACTAGAAGGTGAAGGGATGACGATGTTTCGGTCCGTCCTGGACCATTCTCAAGTCGATTATAATAATAATAGTAAATTATAATCGACTTGAGAGTGGTCCAGGACGGATCGAAACGTCGTCGTCCTTTCACCTTCTAGTGTGTGGTCTGGTCAATATACTTCAGTCATGTTATTGTGACTCATCGTCTACATATATGGGATAGCTTTACTAAGTGCAATATACTTTTATAACTTTATCAAGACTGCATTTGTGCTACTAACATATTTTACTGTTCAACTGACAGTGCAGTCCAAGTCTCCGTCTTGTGGGAAACATGTTAGAGTAGAAACAACTGCTCTGATCATATAGGACATAGTTCCATAGCTTCCTGAGGGAGCACTATCATAGAAATGTAGACAGATGTACGCAGCACCACCACACGACAGTCCACCTCCCACACCAGGCTCTCGTTTATCCCGAGCACAGCATAATGTTGCATCACCATCTTGCTGTTTCTGTACGTAAAAGTCATTAATAGTTATCAGATCAAATTTTACAAATTATTTTGTGATGTTGAACCAAATGATGAATTACAATCAAATGTATGTAACAAAAACAACAGAAGATTTAATACAGTATTTATAAAATCATCATCTAAAAACTTTGGTGCATAGATAAATTAACCACCAATAGGGCACTGTTGTAAATATAATTCCGTCATTCTCCAGTCCTGGCTCTACACCCAGTCCTGGAAAAGGAATCAAGGGACAGGATGAAGAGCTATTGAGGTAGAGCCATGAAAGGGACATTTCCTTACATTTAATACATTATTTCTGGATAACCTCCTCAGTAGCTTCCCTAGCTACAGAGATTAACAACAGAAACAAAATATAAGTAGGCAGGCTGTGAGTAACTTGGAGCAGCAATGAACATAGTGCAACACATTGGAAACCAGCACAGCAGCAGCAGCATCAGGCTCTAGACTGGGCGAGGTATCTTATCATGACCCAACCAGCATAGTTACTAGGTGAATAAGATTTCCTTTGCTCAGGAACTAAAACAATAATAACCCACAGCTGAGGCGGGATGACCAGATGAAAAATATTTCGTGCCGATCAGAAAATAAGGTTCATGTTGAGCCCAAAGACATGCAGTTGTTGGAACAAAAGACACACACAACATACGCAGTTTTACATCCACTTGAAGCATCAACTGCATATGAAGAGAAAAGCTAAAAAACTTGATGTTGATGTTGAATCAGTTTCTGAAAACATTCGGATGTCTTTAAACCAATGACCCCAGTTTTTCTCTGGTTGGCATGTTGCTGGACTAGTAATGAGCCAGCTGGTTGTTGCTAGCAACAGGGAGCTAGCCGCTTCCTGATGCTGGTACTTGCTTAGAGTTCTGAAGTACTCTTTCTGGTGATCAACAGTAGAGTAAGACTGTATCAATTGAGTAGATAACCCATTGTGACCCAACCAGCAGAAAAACTAGGAAAACAATCCCCCTGAAGCAAGGGAACTGAAATTTCTACATAAACTTTGGCCTAAACAACCAGCTGCAAGTGTGCACAGATATGACTAACAAATACCAAATCTCATCAACAAGTGATGAGGGTAGGTGTAAGCAGCCAAGGCTAAGGAATTGAACAGATTACTCATTGACTATCTAGCTAGAACCTGGCAAAGGATGCTGGGTTTCACCTCCTCTACGAACTGACACCTTAACACAATCGCACATTATTGCGCACCAGTTAACTTCATAAACTCCTCCTCATAGAGCCTCGCCTTAATAACAAAGTCCTGAAGTACAGCTTGGCACAGGGTTGGCTTAAAAAGTATCTCTCCAAGATAGGACATGAAAACCACAGAAGATCTCTCTCACAGTTCGTGGTCATTAGTAATGCTGTCAAGAGGGTATCCTGAACTCACTACTGAATTGGAAGGAAGTTTAGAGACATGCTAGACAATTGGCAAATTCTTGTGAAGCATTCGAAGCATGGAACCTCAATGCAAGAAGCTTTGAAGTCTTAGCAGAACATTTTGTGTGTATCCACTTGTCCAACAGGTAAGTGTGAAGTGTCCTCAGGTGGCTCAGACTACCATCTGGTTGTGACTGGGGTAATAGGATTAGTGAAAGGATTAAGTAGTTAAGAGAGTTGTTTGACAATCTGATGTTTCCAAACATTTCTTAGGGATGGATTCAGTATCTTGATATTTCTCTTGGTTTTTAAGGTGGCTCACCTCAGAAATGAGTAGGTTTCTCATCTCCATAAGGTTTCTGCCACATGTAGGAGAAAAAACTGCATAAAAAAGGGACTTTCCTCCCCCCCCCCCTGAGACCTGAGGTTGTCATCAGCAGCCTAGCACACTCAGTACCTTATGTGTGGTTGTGACGTAAGCTGTTAGGAACTACTGAAGGGATACAAACCCAGAAAGTGACAGAACTAATTATAGGAATATGATGTAAAAAGTGTATTTAACATAGTGACATTAAATATTTAATAAACATACCTGATCTGATAAGAAAATGTTATTAGCCACATGCACGATGTCTTGTGCTGATACAATATCGCCAAGAGATTCGGTATTATGGTATTCTTGAACGAGCGAAAGGACCATTAAAGCCTGTATAGTATAAACAAATTAAAAAAACTAAATACATGTTATAAAAGTTTTCTATATATTTCAAAATACATTTAATGGAGACTAAAATGCAGTCCAATACAGTGAATCTGTGGATCATTTTAATATGAAGAAATCAATTCAATAACAGAATGTATTTAAGAACTTTATAAAGTACAGAATCTAACTGCACACACAATGTAACATCACATGTACTACAGTATACTCTATATATGATATGAATTATGAACTAAAAAAGCCTGTAAAACCCTCCAGCACTTTATTTCCTAAACCTTTCCTACCATCAAAATTTAGATGTTATAGGATTTGTGTTCCTGTGCAATGGACTCAGCTGAATCAGATCATTCAGATAAATCACTATATATATATATATATACATATATGAAAATAAGTAAATGTTTAATGGCAATGTTCTACTTCAGTAGCAGACCAGAGGCTGAATTATTTAATTAGAATGGGGCTTTACTGTAATGCCAAAAGTATATACATATATATTTATTAACTGGAAAGTTTCTGACATGTTACTACAAATTATTCCCCATATAATCTTTCAATCTGTGAATATGACAGATGTATGATAGTTTTCTATATAAGTATTGTAGCATGTTTAACACACAACCCAAATGAGTTTGAATTGTTTTATATTTCATGTTTAATTTCAGGGAGAAATGAGTTAATAGTTGGCCTGCATGTATTCACTTAGTTGTATTCACCTCGTTGTGCTTGCAGGGGTTGAGCTCTGCTCTTTCAGCCCGCCTCTCTACTGTCAATCAACTGTTACTATTTTATTTTTCCACCCACCCACCCAGGAAGCAGCCTATAACAGCTGTCTAACTCCCAGGTACCTATTTACTGCTAGGTAACAGGGAACAGGTACATCAGGGTGAAAGAAACTGCCCATTTGTCTGCCAGCGCCGGGAATCGAACCCAGGCCACAGGATTACGAGTCCCGCGTGCTGTCCACTCAGCTACCAGACCCCTAGATGAATCTGTGTGTGAAGAGGTGCAAGCTACCCTTATAGAACAAGGTGGTCTAGAATTCTAGCAGTGAAAAGATTAAATTAGCTAGCCAATCCAGTGGTAGTTAGTCCATTATCTAGTCCATTAGCTAGTCCAGTGGTATATATCACCTTTCCTTAATAATTGTATCTAACAAATGTTTTAGTTTCAAATAAAATAATGTGACATTATTATTAAAATTCCCTCCACTCCCAAAAATATAAACATTAAAACTCACCTCAACAACTAGTTGTCTATATTCTGGCTGTGGGATGGTATTTAGAACAGTCTCAACCTCTAATGCAAACTTCAATTCACCTGGTGTCATCTGAAAGAAGAGATATTTTTTGCCGAGTCAACACATTAAAATATCAACGAGACTGCCCAATGATTGTGTCCGCATTGCACTGTATTGAATTCAATGTGAAGGTTATGACCATATCAATGAGTTTTTGCACTATATTTTAAAATAAATGTGCAATATGAGGAGGAAGTTAAGTAAAGCAGTGCAATTTACTTACTCCATGGAAATAATGTGGTAATCTCACTATCATAAAAATGCAATATATATATTGGATAAATCCTCAGTGAATTCTAGAATATCAATTTTATATACAGTATTGATTAAAATTGTATATACTAAATGTTAAGTGCATCCTGAAGAGGGTCAGTAATTGGGGCTTGTGCAGGGACCTTAATATAAACCTATAGCATATACATACACAGGCTACCTGTCCCCCTACAAAATGAACACAGTAATTACATTTTTTTATTTCTAATTAGTTGCCAAGCTAAGTTAACTATCAGTTACCAAGTGAAAGTTATTGAGGAAGTAAACATGGTTTGCCCACATTTCAGGTTTGCTCCTTAGATAACAATACTATGTGGCGTCAAGCTCCTAAGATAACAGTACCATGTGGTGTAGACCTCCTAAGATAACAGCACCATGTGGTGTAGACCTCCTAAGATAACAGCACCATGTGGTGTGGACCTCCTAAGATAACAGCACCATGTGGTGTAGACCTCCTAAGATAACAGCACCATGTGGTGAGGACCTCCTAAGATAACAGCACCATGTGATGTGGACCTCCTAAGATAACAGCACCATGTGGTGAGGACCTCCTAAGATAACAGCACCATGTGATGTGGACCTCCTAAGATAACAGCACCATGTGGTGAGGACCTCCTAAGATAACAGCACCATGTGATGTGGACCTTCTAAGATAACAGCACCATGTGGTGTCGCCTGCAACAAGTACGCTCATCATTCTACAGTTCAGTCCAAGTGGTTGGACTTACCATTATACAGTATACTTCAAAATTAAAACTTAATATATTGTTAAATTCTTACCTCTTGAGTAAGACTCTGTGGAATTACTTTGCCTTCTATGTTGATTCCCTGACACTGCAAAATAAGATGAATTTAGCTATGGTTCATATTAATATATATATACACACACAGTACATCAAATTTAATTGCATTTTAAATATTTTTCAGGTAATGTGGGTAATTCAAGTTTTTTTATAGAGTAGTGTATTATAGTATCCTGAGAATCAGGTATTTGTTGATTTTTAAATTTTTTAACTAATACAGTACTGTGAAAACTGAAAACACTATAGAAAAATGCAAGTACTGTATATTAATTTTATATTTGCTACACAGGCAGTTACGAGTTGTGGCAGTAAACTACCACAAGGGCACCCTCATTGTTTATCATTCTGACAAGGATATATATGCTGAGAGGTGTACCCTGCCACGCCTTGTATATACACCGATCGATTACTTTCTCAGTGTACCTTAGTCCTGAACGTAGTCAAGGACTAAATTATTCTTGCTGGTTGGTCAGTAAGCAAGTGTGGAGGCCTTAATAATTCTCCAGAGGTTGATAGTCCTTAACACAACATGAAACTTACTTTACATCAAACATTAAAGTAAACTACTGTTTAGTTTACAGTAAACTATTGCAATTACCTTAATTCAAAAGGTTGATAGGCCTTAAGCCTACTACCAAACCAAACCACCATGATACTGTGAACATGCCATATGAACATGGACAATTGTGTCCCTCTACCTCCCAACTTAAATATTAGAAATGATCTCTAACACTACTCCATTCGTGTACCTAAAAAACATTCTAAAATTTAACAAATTTAAACAATTACGTTCCTGCAGTTTCTGGAGCCAAAAGTATTGCTTATGGCTGATATGAAACCAGGCATCATGTGCGCCACATATAGCCTATGAATACCACAAGTGTAACCCCCCATCCCCGATGTCTTATATACAAAACACCTTGTTGACTTGTGACACTGAACACATTCATTAGCTTTCCTAAGTAAATTAATAGTACAAAATTTTTAATATTTATAAGAATTTGCAGGTATAGCTAAAAATTAGATAATAAAAAGTAAAATGTATTCAATTATTCAATGGTATTTAATATTTCAAGGAAAATATTGTTCAACATAAAACAAACCTTCTCTAGGATCTTCCAGATTTGAGGATAAAAGTTGCGTGGAACACGGTTGAGAGCTCCATCTAACCTGCGACGCCTCAGCCACTGACCATGTCGATCGTTCTCAATATCATCCGATTTTCCATCTGCTGTTGTCGAACCCAAGAAACTACCTATTGTGCTTTTCTAGAAGTTAGAAGAAAATTCGGTAAGAAACTTACAAATACTGTACTATTATAAATAAAATTTCAAATACATTATACTGTACAGGTACTTTCAACATCATAATTTGTGAGGATATTACTTCCATAACTGTCATCATATGGTTCAGTCTTCCTGTCACATCTAATAAGGCATTTGCAAAATAAGCAATACTGTATTATACTAGTACTCTGGACATTGGAGTTGCCAACTACTTGTGCAACTATACGATTACATCAAGACCGTCATTCACACAGCAATCCGATTTTTCCATAAAGTAAGGTTATGCAAACTGCACCTTAAATTTTTTCTACATAATTCCATAATTTAGTGTCACATGTACTGAATTTAACTTTGATACATGATGTGCCAAACTTATTACTCAAATACTGTATTTGCCGAGAAATAGGATGCATGTTTTATGTCCATAACCAACCGAAATTATAACCAATTGAAAAACACTTCCAATATACGTATGAAAAAATCCACAAACTATCCTTATAAAATAAGGTGCATCTTATGTGCCAGAAAATGTGAAACTGTACTTCTAATTGGTGACTCACACAAAATTAATTTGTTTATCCCATGCACAAATTTTTTCTTGGACACTTTATAAACATTTTATTCCCATTTAACTGCATCATTGACGCTATAACAGGGTCTGTTAATGCACCCGATATAACCCTAAACAGGAACCATTTGCAAAATTTTCAGTATAGATACAGCATTAACATTCTGCAAGAGCCATAAACAACATTTGTGCCAATATATTTTCCACAATATATATAATATATTAAATAGGTATACAGTACTGTATATATATCATCCATGAATGTATCATACATGTTCCATACTGCACGATGCACATGAACGAGCAGGCACAAATAATCTCACGATAATAAATTTATCCATCTTTAATGTGTGATTTTTGTATATGCATTAAAGCATTGTGTGACTGTTGTATATCCAGACACGAGACATGATGACAAAGTGATTCATCTATTGACTCATTTACACTTACAATTTCATGCATTATTCTTACTCATTTTTAGTATTAAAAAATGGCAGAAAATAGCATTTAAAGCAAGAAACAGTACTTTTTAATAATAAATAGCATTTCATAATAAATTAGGCAGCCTTCATAACAAATCTAAATTCAAAGAAGTACATAACTTTTAATACATATAATGTATAAACATTTCTAAATATATAGAATAAATGTGAATGGTAAGGAAATATTGAGGAAATATTCCTAAACTGTAAATCATGTAATGAAGCTTAAAACACTATCAACAGCTTTAATAAACCTGTTCAAAATTTTTCTTTAACAAGCTGTTTGAAAGTTTAAAATTTCCATTCCCACATTGAGGCATTAAGCTTAATCTGAAGAAACAAAAAAGCAAGCAGAGAGAGAGTGCATAAACAAAGCTGAAACAATAATCAGCCCATAACAAATTAGTTACGAGCTAATTATCAGAATAAAGCATTTTCTATTATTACAGTCAGACATTTGGCATGATAGATGTACCAGTATCAGGTATCAAGGCAGTATCTACTAGTGGAAAGTACTGTGCAAGTGGGAAGAATTGTACTGCATAATAATTACCAAAGTACTAGTGTGACGTACTGTACAATAATTACCCGAGTACTGGTGGGAAATTCTGCTAGATAATTACCAAAGAACTAGTTGTAAGTACAGCGTAATAATTAACCAAGAACTAGTTAAAGGTTGTGATGTATAATAATTACCCAAGTACCAGTAGGATGCACTGCACAACAATTACACAGGTAGGTACTGGACAATAATTACATGTATATAGGTATCAGTAGGTACTGCACAATAATAAACAAAATATGAATAGGAGGGATTGTATAATAATTATCCGTTAATTATTTAAGATAGTTATGTGGTAAACATCCTGGTCTCACAGGAATTTGAAAGGCAAGTATCCAAACACTGGGGACAGGTACTGAAGATTATTTATTATAGTGGAAATTGGACTCGTGTATAATACAGTGACACGAGAAGACAAAAGGAAAGTAGTGGATGAATTATATGTGATGAATACTGTAACATCAAACAAGGTATTTTCCATTCATTAAATTTTTTTTTATTTGTCGGGAATAAGGAAGAAATATTTGACCTACAGTCACTGGGTAAGAGCAATCATGTATCATTGGAATTTAAATGCATTATTCATTATGGCAGAAGAGATTAATAAAAGGGAGGCACCAGAGAAATTCAACTTTACACAAGGATATTTCAGAATTGTACTGTATTACTGTACATGAATACTTCAATAAATTTTATTGGGAAGGTTTGCTTCTAGGTAAGGATATACATGAACCAAATTTCAGACATTTTAATGAAGATTCCAAAAGATTCACCACAAAATGAAGACAGTATTGGCAAACAAGACTTTGTTTAACAGGCATTCCAAGAGGACCAGAGATTACATAAGAAAATATGGAACAAATATAGAAAGACATGATCTACAAGCATATCAGGAATAGAAATCTGAAACCACTACAAGGTAGTAAGAAATCGACAATGCACAAATGTAAAACAGAACCCAACCTATTCTAGAAATTCATTAAGAATAAACTGCACATGAAGCATAAAATCCATAGATTGAGAGTGGCAACAAAATTTATGGAGACTCGGCAGGAAATGAGGAAAACACTAAGTGGGCAATTATGCAGTGTGTTACTACCAAACAATGTTTTTATAACACCAGACTTCCTGCAAACATTAGAGCATAACCAAGAGCACCATAACCAAACACCTAGAAATAATGTAAAAAAGCAGTTTGGTAGCTGAGCATAAACAATGAAGCTAGGCCAGAGAGTGTTTCACCTTGGGTTTTGAGAGCATACACATGAGCTCAGAATCCTGCTGCAAATTATTTTCCAGACATCTTTACAGAAACAGGGAACTTAGCAGGCATAGGGAAGAGAGCAAACATAGGCCCAGTTTACAAAAAAAATAACATAGAAGACTCACTAAACTATAAACCAGTATCATTGACAAGTGGCAGTCAAATAATTACAGAAAGTAATTAAAACCAAATGGTTAGAACATCTTCAAAGAAATGACATAACAGACAAGTAGTATGATTTTAATACTAGTCAGTCCTGCATAATAAATTTACTTATTTTCTATGACAGTCACAGATTTTACAGGATAAAGACAGTTGGGAAGACTGCATACATCTGGACCTAAAAAGGCATTTGGTAGTCCCAAACAAGAGGTTACACAGGAGGGGTAACAGATTACTTAACGTGAATGAAAAATATCTTAACTGATCAAAAAACGAGAACAGCAATAAGAGGCAGTGTATCAACTGGAGGAATGTCAGTAGCAGAATCTCACAAGGCTCAGCAATAGCAGCCAGTAATGTTTACTCTCTACATAAAAGATCTACATAAAAGGATACAGAGTTGTGAATATGTTCATGAATAATGCTAAGTTACTGGAACGAATAAACAAAGAATAAACTGAAGCAAAAGATATAGATGTAAATGCAGAATAGAACCAGTGAGGAGTAGAGGTGCCATAGGCCCAATTAAAGAGCCTCCGTTTGAATATCAAAAGTCCACAGCTGTTCAATACTCTCCCAGCAAGCATTAGGAATACTGCAGGAACACAGGATGTAGTGAATATGTGGGCCTGCAGGCTGCTCCAAGCAACAGCCGGTTGGATCAAGTTATCTTAAGTCTTTGATAGTAGAACAACTCTCGGAACCCTCTTCAGGTATGAACCCCATGTCATGATGTTCAAAATGACCAAGGCAATTTAAGTATTTGGACTAATACATGGTCAATGGAATTCAACGTGGATAAATGCCACATACTGGAGAGTGGAACATGTGAAAATATATTAAAGAACTGAGAAAGACATTGGATTGGTTCTGGATAGATAGTAAACTAACACCAGAGGACTATACCTAGATCATAGTTAGAGGAACCTATACTGCACTTGCCCATTTCAGAATTTATTTTAAAATCATTGATGAAGTATGTTGCAATTGTGTGGTACAGTATCAATGTAACCAAAAGCATATTAATGCAGCAAATAAAAGAAAACACAAAGGCATGCAAATAAATGGCTTCCAGAATTAAGCTATATGAGCTAAAACACAATACTAAGCAAAGTTAATTTGGAAGAACTGTTGAATCTCGCAACTTTGAGAACAAGAGACCATAGATTCAAGCTAAGAAATCAGAGGTAACAACAAAAATATAAATAAATTATATTTTTGCACAGTGATAGACATACAATAAAATAAATGAGAACATAATGGAACACAAACCCATTGGATGCTTCAAAATGTCATAAAACAATTATAAGGAAGATGAGATACAATGGCACATGGAGAAATATTAAAGAAACTGTTCATGACATTCATGAGACCAAAATTGGAATATGCAGCAGTGGTGTGGTGTCCACATCTCAAGAAATATACATCAATAAAATAGAAAGTGTGCAAAGATATGCTACTAAATAGCTCTCAGAACTTAAGAACATTAGCTATGAGGAGAGACTGGAGGCATTAAATATGCCAAGTCTACAGGATGGAAGAAAAATATGCTTAAAAAACAAGAGCTTATATATTCAAGCTAAAGAAACAAAGGTGCTGAAAATATATTAAAAAGTTCTCATCTGCAAACAGCTGTAGACGAATGGAACAAGTAATATGAGGTGGCGGTGGATGCCAAAACAATCAGTAGTTTCAAAATGTCATGACAGAGTACCGAGAAGATGGGACACCACTAAACTTAGCTCTCATCCTGTCAATACACTTGCATAATTACACACCCACACCCACCCCCAACACAGGTTTAAAATAAACAAAAATGAAGACATACGAGAGCATTTTTTTTTTTATAGAAACCGAGTCACAGTAAATTGGTACATATAGGTGGATATACACACACATGCACAAAACACAAGTGCTGTGACATCCAAACCACACATCAGAAAATAAAGACACACTAATATTTCATTTGGTCCTGGACCATTATCAAGATCTGATAATGGTCAAGGACGTACCGAAACAACGACGGTTTTTAATTTTCTGACGTATGGCTTAGACATCGTATCTTTAACCACTTTATTGTGACTCATCGTTTCACCACAAGTGCATTTCATTATAACTTTGATTGGCTCTAATGTGGTACGGAACAATGCAAAACTACACAATTGTTAAATTCAATTTCAGATTTGTATTGCAATTGTAAAAAGCTGAACATACTGGTAGGATAATTATTTAAAGGCAATTTGATAACCCAAGTGGGTATATAGGGGTACCACCACTGGTGCAATTGTAAGGACCCATTTAAATATAACCCAAATGGGTTACTTTTAAAATTTATCCAATTAATATTCATGAACAAATTAGAAAAGCATTTTATTTGATTACAAAAAAAAAAAACTTTGCTGAATTTGAATGGAACTTCACTGCATAATATTGTTCTCACTCTACTACTTAAAACAACAATGTGTGCGCACGCACACACATTTAAAAAAAAAAATTGTGCACAAATTTCACTAATGGTGTGATAGGTGAAAGAAATGCAAACGATCACATTAATGTTGATATCAAAAGGGTTACTAGAAGCCACCACAGGCTGTCTTACTATAAATTTATTTAGGGTAGCTTGGCATGGATTTCTACAAGTTCAAGAAAATCTCATGTCAAAATTTCAGCACAAGTCTGAAAATTTGTAGCATAATAAGTAAGTAATTATAAAAAAGAAGACACCAAGCCGGGAAGGCTTTTAGCATAATAAAAATGTTAATAACTGCAAATGGGTAATTAAGCAGGATTAACCCTTAAATGGCTCCAGTCACTACCTGCAAAAGTTACCTGTACTCAAATCGCCAAATGCAATTTTCTTTACGTGAGTTTTGTGAAATACTTTGTGTTATGCCCACCACAATGTAATTAGCCGAGCCGTTGAAGGGTTAATGAACACCAAACTAAAGAATAAGGTTATAGCTAATTTCATGTGACTTAAGTCAAGCATTGTATACGAATTCGCATATCTCACCTTCTCAGCATGCAACCCTCCCTGCCAAAATAAACAGGATGAGAAGAGCATTAGTTTGCTAGCTACCAATATAGGCTTTCCTTTGTTAAAGGAGCTCTTAATAACTAAAGTAAATTAAATAAATCAAAATATATCTAAACTACAGGCAAAAGTAGTATCTATTTTGTTTAACGAGATTAATATAACATGGGGTTTAATATTAACATAATTAGCTACTTTCAAACATCTACAAAAGATCATAAGAAATTATAGATCATTAATATGCATATATGTATAAAAAAGATACAAGAGGTAACCAATAAAATCAATAAAAACATTAAATGTACATAAATTATATATGCCTTCCAAATAAGTACATAATAGCCTAGTGTTTTAATTTTCAGAGGTAAAAATAAAAGAAACAGCCCAATGCGAACAAAATGTTATCTTCATGAACGTAAAACTATTAGTGTATTCCCTACTACAGAGTAGTGGAAGCTCTACCCTTCGACAACCTACATTAACATCCCAGTTGGCACAATATCTAAGGGTAACATTAATTCAAAGTTGAATCAACATTGATTCAACAATGAAGTTGATTCAACACCGAATTAATGTTAATAATGTTGATTCGCTGTTGAATTAACATTCATAACGATAATTCATTATTGAAATGTTGATAATGTTGATTCAACACTGAACTAACATTACTCTTGCATACTGTACCCACTGCGATAATACTCCACCACTTTAGATTTGCTTACTGAAGTTCTTAAATCATAAACCTGATTATAGTTTGGTTTTAAACTTACTGAGTATATCAGCCACTTATTTATGTGCTACGTATTGTAAGTAGAACACCTATATATAAATGAACAAATCCACAAGGGCCGAGACGAGGGTTCGAACCTACGTCCGAGAGCATCCCAGACATCCATTGTCTGATGTCCATCCATCCATCCCAGATGCATCCATTTGATGCATCATGCTATTGTGATTTCTGTGTGTAACCTATATATACTTGCTTCCCATTGAGTTCATATATACAGCAATTCCTGCATCAAAATAATACTGTAAATTACCTCATCAGTAAACTCAAAACAGATTCACAAAAAGTCTCCTCCTTAAAGGATTACGTCCTGGATATTATTTACCAACAATTCGGTTTTATACATTGATATTTTGCTTGAATGGAACCAAGTTTGCAGGAACTCCAGATGTACCAGAAAGATTATCGAGTTTGGTGTCAAGATGCAACAGGTTGAGTATCTTGATAAACTAGATAATTAGAATAACCAGGATGTGTAGTGTCAATAAATGTAAATAAAATTGAGTAAAGTGATATTTTTGTATGTGTGCACATGAATTAACTATCATGTGCACTTGTAAAAACACATCAATTGTGGCACACAATCAAACCAGCAAAAGTTCCAGATGGAACCAATTATTTCAGATAATCAATATCATCATTTTTTCAGCACCTGAAGAAAAGTGGCAATTGACATCTACACCTGCAATATTGAAACACTTAGAGGCTATAAAGGAATTATTTGCTGAAAAATTCCTCATTACCACTTGATGTTTATCTGTGCAGTACTGCCTTGCAAAATAATGATGCTTCAAAATGATCACATCTCAGAAAGTGGATGCATATCAAACATATGATACAAGAAAGTAATGATGATGTAGGGGGGTAGAAGAACAAGAAAACCTTCAAGACGTAAATAAAACACCCAGCATGGTGAAAGTTGCCATCAGAGAGTACGAGACCATCCAAAGGTGTTCACATAAAAGTACACCAAAAATGGACAAGTGATTTGTGTATATCTCATACAGTTCTATTTCTTGGGAAGATCAAAGTAAGCTGAAATGATGTGCATAACTAGCAAAGTTACTCTAACCCTATGTAACCACTTTAACTTATCCCATATATTGTCATTGTAAGACTAAAAATTATTACAGTACTATTATTATTAAATATCCTTTCACGATCATACTAAATATTACTGACAAAATAGTTAGTCAACCCAAATTATTGTGCTATATTAAGTGTTATTCGATAAGTTTATTACAATTCTAATAATTGGGTATTAACTAATTTTTACTATATATTAAATATGCTATTTAATTATGAAAGAACAGTCTCCTTAATGCAATAAGTAGAAAGTGGGACAGCTCTTACCTTGCCGAGCTTGCTTGAGCGGCTGCTGATGAAGAATGTCCCGCTACGAGCTGCGGAAAATGGCCACAGTATAAGTACACTGTACTTTAATGTCAAAATCTATTTACAATGCAAACATAGAGCTAATATATTGATCTATTTATGACACCTTAACTTGTGCACAAGTAACCAAAAATTTACATTAAAACAACTACAACAATAAACTGTATGGAGAAACTTACCGAAGATGAAGAAAAGACCCAAAATGTGGACATATTTTAATTAAAAAAAATCTATAGAACACCTACAGAATATTCTGTATACGGCACCTTGAGAAACAATGTAGGTTACATCTGAATTTTTTTTTTTTTAATACACTTACACATATATTGGGTTTTTCCTTCACCTTTGACAAATATATTACAGCATCGTGTTTGTTTACTATAAAAGAATTTTTTATTGTTACTGAAATGTACAGCACAGCTTTTTCCTAAGCATCAAAGGCAAATTCTTGGTAAAATATGTGTCTGGTTGATCCAGTACAGACACACCCTGGCATTAAGAGTTTGAAATACTGTAATTAGAATGTACAGTAATAAAAACTTTGCATATGTATCACATCAACTATTTATTCACACATCTTCAAACACTTTCTTCCTTTACTTCATCTCAAATATGAGTTTAAACAGAATTATCCTTAACTTGCTACTATATTCTCAATGCTTTTGATTATCTCTCTGTATGAATGTAGTTTATTCCTCTCTAATCTATAATCACAATTATACAAATTCACATTTATACAAGCAGCAGTTTGCCATTTAATCCAAACATTTCAACTAAAATATCCTAAATCTAAATGTATTTCATTATTATACAGTACATGAAAATCACATATTTTCACATGTTACAGTACATGTATGAAGGACATATATTGTATACCATCCCTTGTAATATATGAAAAGAAAAATAATATGTATTTCATTATTACTTACTACTACTGTAATACAGTATGTCAATATTTTATTTAAATATGTATGAAACATATGAAGAGCCATTATTAAGATTTATTAATAAATAACGATCAATATTTGGTGAAGAAATTATGCCAACATAGGTCCTTCAATTGAAAACATTTAAGACACTACAGCTACCTAGCCTTACCATTTGCAAGCAATCCTTCACGAATGTGTATGACTGGTAAAGCAAAAATATATTAGATGATTAGCTATGACTAGAAATCATACTACATATCATACATCAAAACTATCTTACCAAACAATACACAGGTCGCACGTTGTGGCACACAGTATTCGCTACTAGAGTAAATCTCAGGAAAATTAATAACCTGTTTATATTGTGCCCAAATCATTTACTGGGTCCTATTTCTCACAGCCACAACATTCACCAGGTTCTATTATTTACTTGTGGCTCCCACATTCACTAGGTCCTATTACTTGTGGCTCGCGCATTCATTGGATCCAATTACTCAAGCTACAACAAATTTTGACCCAGAATTTTTGGAGGGTTTGACTCCACGATGCCTAACACTGTGCTTCATGGCCTATAACTGGCAGATAAGACTGTGATAACCATTAGGTTTGAACAAATCTTTGTAAACTGATCACACATAATAGCAAGATGATGCTCCATAACTTCAGTACAGTATTGAAACTTGTTAACTCAACTACTTGAAGTGAAATTTGTAAATTGTTTTTTTTTCTCCCACTAGTCGGGTGTCAATGGACAAGAAAAGCGAGGTTTCAGACATGTGATTATAAAGGTCAACTGAAGTCTAAGCATGTTATAGTAAATATTTATACTGTATATGACAATGTATTTACTTTGTCAAAGCAACATCTATAGTACTGCATACCTGCAAAAGTGCTACATTAAACAAATCAATATCTGACTTCAAAACTATACATCCATTAAATACAAGACACATAATAACGGTACAGCACGTTCAAAAGAAAGAAATGTTCATATAGAGAATAATCTTGTGTCAGATCACCTGTTGCTCAGAGTCGCAGGTCACCTGATGCTAGACAGGCCTATCCTATTTAAAGCTCAAGACCATTATATTCTATAGCTATTATTAAGGAGCAGTATATTTGTGGTTGGGAAGTGGTGAAAGCACAGTACAGAAGAGTACTGTACTGTACTGGATTATGTTTAATGGGAGGTACAGCACTGGACTCTGATACCTCCCACAGGTATATACTGTATATTGGTTTTCAATCATACTGGTTTCCCATTGTTGGGGGCTAGGAAACCAGCTAGTTTTATCAAAGTCCCCCTCCAGCCAACTACTGATCTTTCCTAGGATGCATCCCACAACAGTTGTCTACATCCTCCACCTCTTCCCTAACAAGACTATTCAAGACTATTTACCAATCCAAGTCATAGCCTTAATGGATCTTACCTTAGGAAACGACCAAGTAAGACACTCCAGCACAAAAAACATGATTTCAGTTAATATTATAAAGTATCACTTGGAGAGAGACCTAACAAACAGGAGTACAGTACAAGCCATAAACATTTTACTTATTAAAGAGTTACGTACAAAATCTGAGGAGAGACCAGATAGAAAAATTAAAAGCACTAAAATGGAATTGAGGAGAAAATGGACAAAGTGCAAAACTATTATTAGATAAAAGTGTATGAGTATACAGGATGCAGAGGAAGAAGATAAATGGAGAGCACATAACTGAATTACTGTAAGTAAAAGTGACGAGCATAAGGATGCCTTAAACATGCTGCTTTCCTCAATAGCAAAATACATCATGTTATGGATGACGACAGATTGATAGAGGAATTATGCAAACAATATAATAAAAAACTTGTGACTAGTAATACCTGAGCCAATGTTGAATTCTTTTCCAGACATGATATGATGTAGAAGGTTCTTCATTTCAAAAGGAGACAGGTTAAGTAAATGGTCAGACGCCACATCTGCGGCACATTTGATGGTCCGTGCTAACTCGGAGGCCATCACCTAAATGGGATAGCATCAAAAAACAAAATTAAACCGATTCTTAGGAACATCATTATTCTACTGCAATTTTTTTTGGCCAATACAGTAATAGTTCTTACCATATTCAGGTTATACTTATAATGTAGTTTCTCATATAATTTGGGCAAATTATATAGAAGGCCAGAAAGATGATGGGTAGATATGATGAATGCATGTCAAGAGTGGAGTGGAGTGAGAGTGAGAGCGAGAGCGTGAGAGAGAGAGAGGTGTGTGGTACGTTGTCTTCTTCATTCAACCAATCGAGACACCACGAGCTACGCTCGTGGTGTCCCGTCTTTAACCCTTAAAGGTAAATTGTGGAGCTGCTGTGATGACTACTCAGAGTATGATGGTTCGTGTCTATGATGCTATTTACTGCACTGTGGTGTGGGTGATATGATGAATGAACAAGTGTTTTTTGTTTAATATCTATTATTTTCACTTTATTGCTCCCCTTTTTCCTCTTGGCTGATGCCTCTCTACTCCAAGAAAATTGGAATGGAGTAAAAAGCATAATGAAGAAGAGCAATTTTCAGCTCAAATTACTAAGGGGTAATGCTTTATTAAACAAAGCAAAAGTAAAGGCATTAAATGAAGATTCATTATTGTACAGGCTCTGGCTGAAATTCAATTTTAAATTCTTAATTGTATAAAAAAAATATGGTTTTTATCAGTTTTTATTAAGTGGCCCAATGTAAAGTGAGGCAAGTACCTGAATGATGAGACCCACACGTAACCTCAGCATCTCATGGAAAAGGCTTGGCTCGGTGCGGATAAACATTGCCAAATACACTAATAACTCTTGAGTTAGCATAGCAGTAGATTCATCTGCTCCATATGCCTGATGGATCAGAATTCTCAAATCAGATGACGGAAGGGGTGCAGTGATAGTTATTTCATTTTGTGGTGGTAAGCCAACCGTTACTTGCTTCTGTCGCACTAAAAGATCAGTGACAGCTTTTGCCAAGTCTTCTACACGCTTACCCAGCATGCCTGAGGAGTAGGACAAAATGTAAACAAAAAATTCAACTTCAACTTTTCTTTCACAGAGGTTACTCAACCTAATGTTTATATAATGTATGTTAAAGTTGTTAAAATAATGCAATGGGCAGATTACTGTACTAACCAGCAAATATGATGAATGAGGGCACTTAGATTTTTAGTGTTTCTAATTGCTCGAAACTACCCTGCTTCAAACAACCTACCAGCAGTGTGGCGAACAAGTGCCCAGTGTTTAATGTGGCAGGCACGCTCATACAGGTCCTTGAGTAGGTCCTTCACCGTCACTGGCTGACCTTCAATCACTGAACCTGTCTCATGGCCCAGACCAAACTGCACAACCTATAGTCAGACAATCAAGTTAAAAATATTTTCTATCTCTAAGGTCACTTTACAAAAAGTATGACCATACTTTATGAAAAAGTATGGTTTTGGGCTTAGGCAATGTTGATAAGAGTAACCAAATCTAAACTTCACATCATCAAAATTTGTAAATCTGAATATGAAAAAGATCTTGGAGTCATGACTAGTAGGATGCTCAATAAAAATATGAATAAATATTCAAAATAAGGCAAATAGGTGCTGGTTCAGGTTTAAAAGCATGAGCAGTAAGACTTCTAATGTTGTCCCAAGATATACCCCTGTTGAGCCCCATTTCGATTATGTAGTTCATTTTGGGCACTGTTCTATACAAATTTTTATAAATTCACTAGAATACAAAGAAGAATGACAAAGTTAATCTTTGGAATTAGAAACTCTCCTCACAAAAACAGATTAAGACAGCTTAATTTATATTCTCTGGAAAGGCAAAGAGTGAGGGGTGGCATGATTTGTAGTATACAAATGGATGAAAAGGGTATAACAATGGTGGTTAATAAAAGGGAACTAAATAACTCAACACAAAATAACAGATATATATATTGAATAAGTTTACATTCAGAGAAGACCTTGTTAATTAAGTATTAGATTGAAAACAGGGTTGCTGATTTATGGAACACATTTCCAGTGTTATGACAGGAGTGGGATTGCTGGATTGTTTCAAGATAGGTTAGATAAATGTGGAAGTGTTTGGTCGAGTATAAATTGGAGTTGCATCAAAACATAGTGATAACCACATTTTAAGGGCATTAAGGGATTAGAGGACTTAACCATACCAGATAATGCAGGATGTCTCCCTGTTCCTCCAGCGATTCTGCCTCCCGCATCTGCAGTAGTAACTCCTCGAAATCCACATTTTCGTAAACTGCGTCTGAAGCCAGCCTGACAGGAAGCATGGGGAAATGTCAATGACTTATGCTAAAACTGTTGCAAATGGCTCCTAAATAGAAATCAATACAAGTGGTGCCATTATATTTAATGATACACTACAGTGCCTAAAAGTCTCTGTATTGCCCGAAACGCTATGCGTATTAGTGGCTTTAGGTATTGTATGTAGTAGCTCTATCCTAAATCCAATAGTATGTTTGTAACTCTGCATCTATGTATGTACTTTTCCTAAATAAAATATTATTATTATTATTATTCTTTAATATTCACAGAGGCATTTGATGGGGATCACCACAAAAACACCTGCTGGTGTTGGTCACCACACACACAGGAACCTGTACACCTGTTGATTGACGGTTGAGAGACGGGGACCCAAGAGCCAGAGCTCAACCCTCACAAGCACAATTAGGGGAGTACACACATCTCGTGATTAATCACCACCCACACAAACACCTGTGGTGATCCACCGTCCTCCCCCCACCCCCACACACACACCTAAGAGGTATGATTTATGAGTTAATAAATGGAATACATTAGGAAGTGATGTGGTGTAGGCAAACTCCATACACATTTTCAAATGTAGATATGAAAAGAGCCCAATAGGCTCAGGAATCTCCACAGCAGTTGATTGACAGTTGAGAGGAGGGACTAAAGAGCCCAAGTTCAACCCCTGCAAGCACAAACAGATGAGTACAACTAGGTGAGTACATACACCTGCTAGTGACACCACCACCATACACACACACCTGCTAGTGATCACCCCCCCCACACACACTATAGTGACCATCACCACACAACCATTCGACCTTCAATTATAGGTTAAGTGGGCGACTGGCATGAGGAACCTTCACCCCTTAACACGCACACCCTCCCCCCCCCGCTCGAGGGCCATTACATACGCGCTCAGCAACCCTCGTCATACCATTAACAAACTAATATTGCTAGAATCTAATTGGCAATTAGAGTAAACCGAGAAGTCTGTTGGCATCAATATTTGTTTTATACGAGCAGTGTATTTGAGGTTGGCGGTTCTTTTGAATTATCGGAGAAAGTGATCCCTGTGGTCATCATCTACTACATCATCATCATCATCTACATCATCTACGTTATCTACTATTCAGTGGGAAGATCATGCTTGAGTAACAATGCCAACGTTGATTCAACATAGTATGCCTAACATGCTACAATATCCAAGAGCAACGCCAGTTCAACGTGGAACCAATGCCATACTCGACATTGGTTCGACATTGACATCGTGTGCCCACTAGGGTGCCCCCCCACTGAAGGTGCCCCCACTGAAGGTGGCCCCACTGAAGGTGCCCCCCACTGAAGGTGCCCCCCACTGAAGGTGCCCCCCACTGAAGGTGACCCCCACTGAAGGTGCCCCCACTGGGTCGGCTCCTCAGTATGCTGCACCAATTACCAACTCGAATTCAATTAGAACTATTTCATAATACGTGAAAATACATAATATTTTCCAGGTTAACTTCTTCAGTTCCCGTTGAAGAAAGATATGATTATAGGTCCCTGTGGTGCAGTGGTCGGGTCACGATCGTAAGGGTTCAAAATTCCCCTCCCCTCTTCCATGTCTCCTTTCACCTGATACCTCTGTTTACCTAGGATCGAATATAATTGGGAATTGGGGAACTGTTGTGGTTTGCATCCTGGGAAAGGTCAGTAGTTGGATTAGGGGCCCCCGATAAATCCAACTGGCTTCCTGTCCCCGACAATGGTGCACTATTATACAAGATTATGGCAATGGGGTGGGACTGAACTCTCATCTCTCTCTTCCCCGATGGCTGTGAGCCGCCGGCTACCTGTCCCCGTCGAGACCACTAGATTGTGAACCTTAAGTCAATTCTGGTAAAATCTCACGCGCTCTTAAATAATACAATGATTAGGCTGATACAATGTAGAGGTGGTGGTTGGCTGTGGAGGTGGGAGCAAGGGTTCACGGGGCCTCGTTACCAAGAGCGTGTCACGTCAGCCCTCGTAATGGTAATGTCTCAACATTCCTTCACATTCCCGCCAAACTGTCGGTCTCTTGCAGAAACCCTCCTCATTATCATCCACAAAACTAATATTTATAATAGTAATATATATATTTATATATATATATTATATATATATATATATAATATATATAATGGTGTAAATATTAAATAAATGATCCAGCGTTGGCGACAGTGATCTAACGTTACTCCACCGTCATATATTTGCTGGGATGACTGACAATTCCCCCTCACACTCGTGATAAGCTGGAGACGGCGTCATAATATATAGTAAAATATTTAACACGACTTGTTTTATATAGGGAAACCCAATGACAACACATTAAGACTCAGCTGATGTAGACATTTTCTAAAGACAACCAGTATACTGTTGTGCTTCTAACCGCTATATTTTAAATTAAGCTAATTAACACAGGTTGTTACAATGAAGCAACAACCTGTCCTCTCGAATAACACATTGCATTGTGGGGTCAAAATCAACGGACAAAATATTATATACTATGATTCATTGCGGATCTATCTTGAGTTATCTTGAGTCACATACACATCACATACATACTTGGATCACATACAACTCCGTTTTGAATGGTTCCATAGGATAGGTTCAGGTAACCCAGCACATTTTTGTGACAACTGCTGGCAAGCTGCCTTTCCGCCCCTGCCCCGGGCAACGGACGGTGAGGTAACGATGATTAAAGGCTACTGGAGCGTGTTGTGCCCTCCGGGTCTAACTAAACACAACAACCCCCAACGTGTGGACAATAACTATAATATGCAACGCTAATATATTTTCGAGACGAGACCGCTTTGTTTACACCGCATGAGAAATATCGACGTGTCTGGCCTTGGAGACACGTGGAGAGTAAATTTAAGTAACATTAGCAGTCACGTCACTTTTCCTCATCCCTGGCGCTTCAGGCCAATAGCCAAGGCTGTAACAATTTTGTGTGATATTTTGTTGAATGTTATATATTTTGTTATATTAGCCCCATGTGATGTAATTTTTCGTTCAAGAGTGAGAGTGGTCTGGAGAGCGAGCCTGCAGTGAACGATACTTCGGGAACAGTTACAAATATGTAAGTGGCTACACTTGTCAGCAAGTAAAGAGCGGAGAGCACATTACATACAGGGCAGTGTGGCGTTGGTGGGCCGTGAGAAGGCTGCATGCTGGCCTGCGGTTAGTAATGATTCCCCACCGCCGGGGACACGAAGCCTGAAGGCTTATCTATGTCCGTCTAGCCCAACAACTACTGACCTTTCCCAGCATGTAACCCACAACAGCTGCCTAAATCTATACCACGTATTTACTGCTAAGTTAACAGAGGCACCAGGTTCAAGAAAATGAGCCCAACGTTTCCTCCTGCTCAGGAATCAAACCCGGGGCCATTCAGTTATGAGGCTACGATGATATAAGACTATTACCACATTCAATGCCTGGGGAAGGGGGGAGGGTGAGAAAAAGGGGTTGAAATAATAATATTACCGTTTTTGTTATTATACGTTATATCCAAAGATAATTTATCAAAAAAGGTATTCATAATCAGTGTATATTTCACAGTGCACAACAGGTGGTGGCAGCGAGTGTGTGTCAGTAGGACTGAGGCTACATAGCTGTCTCAACAGACCAAGGACCAGTCAAGGTAACCACAGGCCAGCGTCACCATGGTCACACTTGGTAACTCTCCGCTCACATCAACACCACACATGCTCCCATTTCTCCTCACACCATGTTGTATGCTTCTCATGCAACCGTTCACAGTATTGGTATGAAACACAAAAGAATGGGAAATTACACTTTTCGGGGCTAATGAGACTGGGCGAGTCAAGGTTCGTATATCTTGTTCAATGTAAGTATTGTGTAAACTCATGACTGTGTGCGTGTGTATGTGTACACGTATACCACCCCACACCCACACAGTACCTAGTTACACGGTGAAACCTGGCTGCGTACACCAGGTCACCAGATTAACGATATCCAGTTGACTTACGACGTGATGTGGCCCTTAAGTACAAATGGACAGGAATGCGTTCGTAAGTCTCTGAAAGGGAATCCTAGTGGACATGCGTTTTGGTCGGCCAATATTAACTTTGATACCCATCATTGCACTGGAACCTTAGTCTATATGACGAGTTACGGGCTGGTTTGTTATACAGCGGGGGTGCGAGTCACGTCTATTGACCAGTGTTTGAACAAGTTTAGGGTAACTGAGGATACCGTTTATGGTTTACAATGCGTGTCCTTGTTCACAAAGTTTACAACTGGAGCAGTTCACTGTTGGGGGGAATCATTACCTGCACTCACCTGCCCCAAGTATCGATACCACAGCCTACCGATATCGATACTATCGATACCACAGCCTACCGATATCGATACTATCGATACCACAGCCTACCGATATCGATACTATCGATACCACAGCCTACTTTAGGCTGTGGTATCGACATTATTGTAACCGCCTAAGTAGGCGGTTATGTCACATTGTCTAGAGGATGTTTTGTGATGTCTACTATAGTCCTCGGTACTAAACTTAATACGAGAAACAGAACCACGTGACCTGGCCAGCACGAGCAATAAATCTACGGTCCATGCAACCCATATTCCAATTACTAAATCTAGGTTATAAGACCGAGATCAAAATGAAACAAAATTAAACAAAAGTTGTTGCAAGTCAACTGATAAATCACAATTAACCCCAACTCATAATTTAAATGAGAGTGAAGACATTTTGGTTCCTTCTGGACCATTATCAAGCCGTGGCACGAACGATATGTCGTCACTATCACGCTAGGACATCACAATGGCGTGATAATATGCGAAAATCCCTGGACCACTCCTGGGATTCGAACCATTCTTCTGCCCTCCTAACCGCGCGTCACATTAATTTCATGTGTAGCTTGTGTGTTTACTAGTTGTGTGTGTGTGTGTGTGTGTGTGTGTGTGTGTGTGTGTGTGTGTGTGTGTGTGTGTGTGTGTGTGTGTGT